GAATCAACAATAAAAGACATTTTCCTTTTCTATAATGAATACGTATTTTCTCATAAAACCAAACTAATCATGATTCTGTTAAAAAAAAAAAAAAAAAGGTAAGATATGAGAATCCTCATTCTCCATTTATCCCCAGTACATCATGAAACTGGCTTTCCAATTTTTAGTAAATATAGTTTTTGTTGAAGAAAGAAGGAAAGAAATGCTAGGTTATTTTCTTGAAATTATACTCTTGTCAACGAAAGATCGTATAGGGCTTTAACGTGTTTTCTGCGGTACTATAACATTTAAATACAGGTTTGGAAGAAAATACCTCAACATACTCATTTATGTCAATGCAGAAAATCATGAATTTTCCATATTTTGAAGAAACAAGTTTTTCAAAGGTATTACTCAATGAAACACTTTAAGACAATGTTGCACTTAGATAATAAACAGTAAATAATTTAGGACAGAAGAGATAAAAAATTAAATGATTATGAAAAGATCACTTTTTTGTTGTTTTTATTTTTGTTTTTAGCAGTGGCAAAGTGTAAAAGTTCATTTTGTATTGCCTATGCAATTCAATAATGCATCTAAAAGTCAAAGAATTATTAAATCATAGTTAAATATGCTCAAATACTTCCTAGCCACCTACCTATACTATTGATATAATTATTTTACATGCTTCCTAATCATTCATTAAAATATACCTCCCAAATTCCTCTATAAATTAATAATGGTTGGTCTAATTCTAGGAATTGTATGTTTCCAGAGACTATATTATAGAACATCAATTGTTTTTCTAATTTTAGTATATGTGGTGCCTAAGTGAGCGCTCAATTGTTTTTCTAATTGAAAGTTTAATGCAAGTCAACCCAGCATAGAAAGTCTGAATTTCTAAAGCTTTTAATGGATTATTTAAACACTGGAGTTTTTATTTGTGTGTGTATGTTTAGAGTTAAGCCTTAACTGATCATTTCCTTTGAGGAAGGACAGAACAAGCCGATGATGGATTCTGGACCGAGTGAAGCAATTTTTGTTAGGCGTAGCTCACAGCTGTGAGCACAACCCACTGAGGCATGAAGCCTGGTGTCTGCTGCCCCGTGTTTAGCTCGGGTGGGGAGGATGCCTCAGAACAACAAAGAGGGGAATGAGAACAGAAAATCAAGAGGTGACAACCTCAGCAATAAAAACTAAAGACCTCGGGTTACCACATGACTTCCCAGTACTTGAGGTTACCACAGTGAGAACAGATTAGTAAAGCAGAAACTCTGCTTAAGGCATGTGGAAAGTCAAAAACGTCACCTACAAAAGCAATGGTTAACACTAAAAACCTAACCGAAGGTTCCTGTTAAGCACAACTTTAAGAATCTGGACGCTACCTTCTCTACACACCCTGCTGCAGATCACGCAATCTCTCACCAGCAGAGGGCGCGCAGGCCTTACGAATGTGCTGGGACGCCAGAGGGTGCATTCCCAATCCGCACACAGCCTGCCATTATTTATTTATTTATTTATTTATTTATTTTGTACCAGGGATCGAACTCAGGACCTTGCTCCTGCGAGGCAGGCGCCGGAACCACTGAGCTAAATCCCCTTCCCAATCCGCACACAGCCTCACAGCCTGCCCTTCAAACCCTGTGGCCTCCAGACTCCACGGCCACGTATGACCCAGTCACACAACTCCCCGCTAAGGAAGGACAACGAAATCAGTTCTCGCAAGTCTGTAAATTTAAAGAACTATTGTGCCTTAGATTTCATAATTTTTTTTAAAGGAAAGATGTGTCTACCCAGGCTTCTATTTCCCTAAAATTTAAAATATACTTTGAGATGACTGTTAGGCAGTATTTCTCAAACTGGGTTAATGTAAACAACTATTTCAAAAGAAAAACAATACGCTTAGATACTGAAACTATGTTTAGATTTCCTCAGTTTGAAGTTAAGACATTAAAATCTCAACTCATGGAAATGGTTTTAAATTGCAAATTTTAAAAATCACAAGAATTTCATATTTGAAATCAATTTTTAAATATTCTTAGGTTATCATTAAATGAACAAACAAAATTTAAAAATTCTCACAGACCATGTAGACCTCTCACACAGTATTTGGGGAAACAAAATTTTGTGAAAAATAATTCTTTTGAAGTGTTCATTTTATGAAAAACAAATGCTTTAAGAACAAAAAAGTTTTAAATCAGTGTATTACTATTTTTCTGCTTGGAGAAATTTTCTCTGACCTTTTGAGTAAAGAAGGTGCATGTAAATACGTAAGTAGGAGCAAGTATGCTCACACATTCAGTTGCAGTTAAGAAGCCCAGCCCCGTAAAGACTGACTGTCTTACAGGATGGCCTGTCCTCTCCCTTGCACATTCTTTGTTTCTATCTCTTACAGAAGGCACGGTGGGCCGACAGATCACCACCCTGAGGGAGGAATGCAACCTTTCCGATGCCCCATGTAGCCAGAAGACAGTTCCCATAAAGTTAAAAATAAGACAGGACTCTGGTCCGCAGTGTCGCAGGCACCTTGGGAGTCAGAGCAGATCCACATGACCTCATAGTGACATGAGGGTAATATTTCAGCCTTACAGACCTCTGGGATTAGAAGGACAACACGCAGTCTCATTTGTCCAGTGACCTATTTTAACTCAGAAGGCAGGCTGCCGCAGTCAGTCTGAGACAGGCCTTCAGGGGTCCATTAGTACACAGCCTGCTGGCCGGCCACACCGGAAAGGGCAAAGAATCTAGGTCACTGTCGCCATGAGTTAATCTTCATCATAACTAAAGGGCTGTAACGGGTATAGGGGAGATAGTAGTTACCTGCTCAAAAGAATGAAGTCCGCTTTCTTTTCCTAACCTCACCAAATCTTCTAAAATGGCTTTCTTCAGGTCCTGAATTAAACCACAGAAGGAAAATCAAAAGACAAGAACACACTTCAAAATGGAAGTAGTGGAAACAGCACATTTTGAATAAAGTGCACATAAATGGTGATTGCGCAGATGTGTTCCCCAAAACCCTCCTCTCACGGGGCTGGGGATTCCTGGTGGCAGCCCAATCAGTCAAGTGAGGGCCCCTCGTGGCCAGAGGAGCAGCTGTGAGCAGGCTCAGAGGACCACTCATCCTTCAAAGCAGCCTGGCGAGTCCTGCCACCCCCCCACCCCCCAGATGAGCCCAGGGTCCAGCGGGAGAGTGAGGACTGCGGCTGCTGTAGAGAAACAGACACTGAGACTTGCAGGGCTGATGCTGCATCAGAGAACAGCAACCTCCAGCGAATGGCAGAGCTCTGGGCAGGAGGAATTGTTACTGTTCAACCCCCTTACTATCTCTGTAAACTCGCTGCCCTGGAGACACACAGTCTACTTCCCATTTGGAAGAAGCACGACCAGCGAGTCAGGAAGCCTGCGCGCATCTGGCCTGCTGGGAGTAGTTACGTGGCCGTGGGCAACCCTCCCCCCACCCACTGCCCTCCTTCAGCTGTAAGACAACAGGGCTGGATAAACTTTCTGCAATGCCTCCTGGCTCTAAAATTCAACAGTTTATCAAATTTCCAAGAAGAATCATAAATTTCTTCAACAACAACTAAAAGACACATTTCTGGTTTAGGACTTTCATTGCATATAAAGTAATATCAGAAATTCCCTATGTGTTCAAATGTCACTGGTCTAACAGCTTTTCTGTCCTCTTATTTTGTGGTATCATAATTTTAACAACCTCTTAGCAAACAGCCCGAGATGCTGACCTTATTTCCACACATGTCTGCATACGTCCCCTCAATTCCTCTCTTCTGGGCCCAGGAGGGCATGACTTCAGGGTCAGGCACTACAATCCCCACCAAATAGGCCTGCAATAACCAGCAAGGACAGCAGTCAGGACAGAAGCTTTTAAAGTGCTTGCTTGCGGTCTAGCATTGAAAATAAACTCTTGGTATTCTCAGACTCTGGACTTTTCTAAAAATAAGTATATGCTTATGAAACATTTGTTCATATGTTAGGAAACATTTCCACCAAGGTATCACACTGTCTTGGCTATTCATTTCCTGACATATCCCCCTTACTTTGGGGGGTTACATCTAAGGACATCTCAGGAATCAGTAAAATTAGATTGATGTGTGCCTCTGATTCTTATGCCACTCTTAAATCTGCCATCTTTAGGATGCTAATTAAATGATCCAAATCCTATGAACTAAACACCATTTTGAAATTGCCCATTAATAAATCCTCATTCATGAAGAACTCTTTTTAAAATTACAACATTTTTGTCAAAAAATAATTTCGTATTTAATCATATAAATGCAATGGTAGCATAGAATATATTTGATACCTTTGATACATATTTGTGATCTTCCTGACTTCAATCTAAATGAAATATAGACCAAAAAATGTGTATACATCTCATACATCTAATCCTAGTAAGCTATATCGTCATCAATACCATCATTTGTAATACTGTATCAATTTATCTATAAAGTTTATTCGCACGTTTGAAAAATAAAAACAGTAGAAATCCTGAATTTTGCTCTAGCATCTTACTTTGGCATTTTGGAAGTAAGTGGAACATAAGCTAAATGCGGTGAGAATGTTTATTATTACGATTGCAAGCAACTTACTTGCCCTAACTGCAATTTACAAAAATTGTAAGTAACTAAGATTTTTCCTTTAGAAAAAAAAAAAAAAAAAAGACTTCTCCTTAGAAAGGAATTTTCTCTCCCAGTTTGAAATATTTAGCTGAATCCCAGGAACCACTCGGAGGAACGTTTAATCAGATTTTTCAGCAGGACAGTGTGTGGGGGAGGCTGGCATGCGGCCTCACCTTTAAGCTGTCCCCATGGACATAGATTTGCGCCACTGGCTCACTCCGGATGTAGATGTTCTCAATCTTTTCGGGTGCAACATACTCTCCCTGAGCGAGTTTAAATATGTGCTTCTTCCGGTCGATGATTTTAAGAGTTCCTTCCTGTGGAGGTGGACAAGCAACTTACTCAGAAGATGGCACTCGCAAGCCCAAGGCCCTCCCTTCTCAGGCCCCCGTCCTTCCCACCCCAACACCGCTGTCCCACGCTGCCCCTCCGAACGACCGCCGTCTGTGCTGACAGAGCTGCCTCGAACTGGAGGAAGCCACCATGCACTGCAGGTTGACGACATCCAAGCTCTGCTGGGCCCTGACCCCTCCTCTAAGAGGTTGGCATTCCCTGCACCTTCCCGCCGCCCTGGCCCTCACCCCCACAGCAGGGTCAGGGCTCCCCTTCCCCAGACCCTCACTCCAGCTCTCCGGCCTCTGCAGGTTCCAGGTTCGTTCATAGCCTCATTTGTGTCTCCTGCCCCTGCTATGGCCCAACCCCTAAGAGCAGCCCCCCGGGGCTCTGGCACACAGCACAGATCCGGAGGGGCCCAGACATACACGAGACAACCACAGGGCACCAGGAGCCCTGGCCCTCCCAGGATCTCTGCAGTAGGCAGGTCTCCCCCTCAGGCGGTGAGGCAGTGGGCCATGGGCCTCCAGGACTCCTGCTCACCTCCGTGACCCCCTTAACCTTTCGAGCTTCTGAGGCCAACAGGAGGGCCCGGGCCTTGGGCTCGATCCTCGAGTGTGGCCTTTTCTCCCCTCTGGCCAGGCACCATTTGGGAATCAGCAGTCACCTCCTCGTCGTCTACTCCCACGTGGGTCTAAGTGCTCTGTCTCCCAGGCCCTCACTACCCTCTCTCAGGATGACTCCACAACCAGGCTGCAGCAGGCCCTACGCAATGCTCACCACCACCCTCAGGCCCACAATGCCTGCCATCACGCAGACCCGGGTGCCCCTCGCTGCCTGCCTCCCCGGAGCTCCAGCAGTCAGGCTCACCCGTTCTCACTCAGCCCCTCCCTTGTCCACCTTCTCCCATCCAGACCACATCCTGACCAGGCTTCTGCATGCACTCTGTCGCGTTCCACCTGTGCTCCCCCAAGCCACATCGATCTCTCCAGCAGGGAAAAATAAGCAGGCCTTGTTCTGCTCCAAACCCGGGGCCGGCATCAGGCACTTGCCCTGTGCTCGCTGCTTCAGTCCTCACTGTGCCCTATGAGCGAGGTGTAGTCAGCGTTTCACAGATGAGGAAAAGGAGGTTAGAGGGGCTGGTTAACTCCTCCAAAGCCTCAAGCTAGGAAGTAGGGAAATCAGGATTTGAACCCGGGTCTTCCTGGATTAGAAGACTATGCCTTTTCATCAATCTACTTTACACTATAAAATAATAGTAATGTTTCAAAGCACAAATATCTTTATAGACAATTTCTACCTAAATTACAAGAATGCATTATTCAAACTTTGCGGGGAGGTGGGTAGGGACTACAGATTGAACCTCAAGCCCTTGCACTGAGCTGCATCCCCAGCCCTTTTTTATTTTTTATTTTGAGCTCCTTATTTTAGGGTCTTGCTAAGTCACTAAGTGGCTCGGGCTGGGCTAAACTTGAGATTTTCCTGCCTTGGGCTCTCAGGGTGCTGGGATTACAGATGTGTGCAACCATGCCCAGCAATACTTTCTCGTGGTTAAAAAAAAAAAAGTCATTCAGTAAGTTGACACCAAAATCGTAACAGAGTTCTATATAAAAGGAAAATTACAAGATCAATCTCATTTATGAGTATAAATGGAAAGACTGAAAACACGTTGTAGGAAAAATATGAAAAACATCCTATGATGGTTAAGTTGAACTCAGGCCAGGAATTCATGATTTGCCTTACATGAGAAATTTAGAGAGAAAATTAATATTTACTTCAATAGTCATAACAATTTTAATTGAAATCCAACATTTCTTCTAAAATTATAACTTTAAAAGCTGACCGCGAGGCCATCTAGCTGCGAGCCAAGGCTCGTGTGTGATCACACCAGACTCTTCCCATGAGTGCTGCACTTGTTTCTCACAACACCCTCCGTGGGAGGTGGCTTTATTCCAGGTCACCCACTAGCAGCAAATCTGGGTGCTCTACCACTGGGCTACATCTCCAGCTCTTTTTTCCTTTCCTTATGCTGCACTAGAGATTGAAGTCTGGGCTGCTTTTTTGAAGGGTAGAATTTAATCTTTATTTATAGGACACTACAAAATATGAAATTCCACATAAAAATAAGAAACCCCTCAGAAGACAAGCTTCATACAGTATGTAGTTTGGAACTGATCAAGTATAGTTTCATTGTTGAAAGTGTTACAATAGCCGGGGATTTAGCTCAGTGTTTCCAGTGCCTGCCTTGCAAGCGCAAGGTCCCGAGTTCGATCCCCGGTACCCCCCCCCCAACCAAAAAAGTGTTACGATAACAAACCACATTTAAAAACGAGTTCTTAGTAGAGAAACCGATGAATTTATACCAACATAGAATGAAACAAAAATGTGATGCATCCTTAACCCTTCTTTACTTTTTATTTTGAGGGAGGGTCTCGCTAAGTTGCCCAGACTGGGGTTCAACTTGCAGTTCTTTGCCCTTTTTAAAAATTTTCTTTTGAGAGGAGGTCTCAAGTTGCCCAGGCTGGGCTCAAACTTGAGACCCTCCGGCCTCAGCCTCCTAAGTAGCTGAGATGACAGGCATCTGCTATTGTGCCTAGCAGATCTAGAGTTTTGTGAGGCTTCAAGCTTTTATAATTTTGAGGGCCTTTTATAAGAAAAAAGTAATACAAAATGAAGTGGAGGGCTTTATACAAATGAGAGGCCCTGAGGGCCAGGCTTCTTTACTGATGGGACAATCTGTCCTCTGCAGGTCTTCAGGACCCTCTGTCTTCTCCAGCATCTCTTCTCTACACTTGTGGGCTACAGTTAGAATTGCTCGCTTTATACTCCTAGTATCTCTACTCAGCACATGCTGGTACGTGGCCCAAGTGTCCGTCCCACTGTCTCCTTTCCCCTTGGAACCTGACCATCCTGACATTTAGGTCCAGGAGGTCCTCCTCTGCCCCTCCCCAGGTCAGGGCGCCTCTGCGCGTGGCGATCCTACTGGGCCGGGAGCTGCCAAAGACGTGTGTCTTCCCTGAGCAGAATCCATGACATTTCCGTACGGAAGCACACAGATCCAGGCGGGGCAAACTCGCACCTGCTAAACTCAGTGCTCCAAAATGTCCAACCGAACCTCAGCAATTCCCAGAGACACAGAAGAGGCCCCCGGTTGGGCTGCACCAGCCAAAGGCTCTGGGGTCAGTGCCAGACCCATTTTTCCGAGCAAAGCATTCATGTGAGTGTCTCTCATGTGCCAGCGCTGTGTTAAGTGCTTTGCAGGTATAGTCTTGTCTCTCACAAAAACAACTGTAGAGGTGAACAACTGTATAAGCCTGTTTTAAAAGTGAGAGATCGAGGCTAACTGGTTTGAGCCAAAAGTCGGGGGCCACAGCCAAGTGGTACGACAGCTTCCTCCATTATCCCACAGGGCATCAGCGTGAAGCCCGACAGAGGAATGGGCTTTGCTCACAGTTTTAAGCAAAATGGACTAAGGGATCCTCCTAACCAGCTCCAAGCTTTTCCCCTGCTCAGTGCCGTCTCGGCTGGGGCCCAGCACGCGTGCCCTTCCCAGCTCTCCCAGAGATAGATGTTTCCTTCTGCTTCACCATCAGACTCTACATAACACCAGAGCTCTTTCTGGAAACCATTAAGAAAAGGGGGTTGATTTCCACGGCCCCAGCTATAATGGTTAATGTTGACTGTCAATTTGATTGGATTGAGAAATAGCTGGGAAATTAATTAGCAAAGTATCTTCTTGGTGTTTCCAGAGATGCTTGGCATGTGGGGGAGGGCCCACCCCAAATATGAGTGGTACCGTCCAATAAACAGGGCGTCTGCATGGAACAAAAGCAGGAGGAGGAATCCTGCCAGCATGGGCTGTCTCCCTTTCCCTGTTTCCGGGCTTCCACGAGGTGAGGAGCTTTCCTCCACCACACCATTCCACCCCAGGTGCAGAAACAATGGAGCCAGCTGACCATGCATGGAGGCCTCTGAAACTTCAAGCCAAAATAAACATTTCTTCCTTTAAATTGAAATTTTCAGGTATTTGGCCACAGCAAGAGAGCACGGACACATCAGCTAGACCTTCCCACACCAGTTTTCCATCACCTTCATCAGGTGGAGAGAGAGGAGGATGCTCTGGGGCCAGGTAAGCATGAACCTCCCGATGATACCCACAGGGCTCTTGAATGAATAACTGTCAGGCAAGATACGGAGCAGACTCCTGCCTCAATCACCTATGTTCCCATCACCAAAATATCTGAAGCTCCATGAGTCCAAACATACATACCGGCAGCCACTTCCCGATGTCTCCAGTATGAAGCCAGCCATCACTGTCCAGGGCTTCTTTTGTCCTCTCCTGGTCGTTTAAGTAGCCTTTGAACACATTTGGCCCCCTCACACAAATCTGTGGGGACAAACACCATGGCTTCTCTCATTCACAGTGCAAGCAATGCAGTGATGGGAGGCCGTCACCAGGCATACGGAGATGAAGAGACACTATCCATCAGGAGAGCCACCATGGAAATTGTGGCAAAGGAAATAAGAAGACAAGGAATAGCTTCCAGCTGTATCTGCCTTTCCAACTGTCTCCTGCCTTCTCTCAAGCAGTATCCTCCTAGGCAAGTATCTCCTGTGCCATCTCTTCTTCCTCAGGAGGTCTCTGTCCTTGGCCACGTGGTGCTTTGTGACATGTGATGGGGTCTTATCACAGACACTGATGGGTGGCTGACTCTACAGAGAAGCTTGAGTCCCCTGCTTCTTTACTAGGCAGTCAGCTTTCCACCCACAGAGGAGGAATGAGCAAGTATAGGCAGCTCAGCCCACCCCATCTGGCCTATCTGCATGTGGCCATGTTTCTTTGGGAAGATGATACAGCAGTAAGCCATGCTACAGTTAGGAAAAAACAAGGATTTTTTTTTTAAGTTTGGAAATTTAAAATCTTCATTTAGACTTAGTCCAAGCATTTGGTGTTAGTTGAATCAAATTAATCAGTCATTTTAAATGATTTTATACGAAAGGTGAAAATAAAAATACCTCCCACGATTTTGTTTCTTTGTTTTTAGTCACTACATGTAGCATCCACAGACATGAATAGCTAAATCTTTAGGTTTACCTCTCCCTCTCCCTTGCGGGTCCAATAGTTTAGTTCTTCCACATCGACCAGCTTGATATGGTTGCAGGGCAGAGGCGCTCCTACGTGACCTAGGAGACCAAGACAGCACTTGTCAGTGTTCAGATTAGTTTCAGTACCGGAAAAGCTCCACACCCTGGAAAGCCCCCAAGTGAGTAAATCGGGGAATTATAGATGGACAGCAACAGAGCTCAAGACAGGCATTTGCCCCAGGCAAGCTCGAGTGGGAAAACAAATTTCTGGACGAAGCAAAGGCCAACCTCTGCCTCGCCTTTGCTTACATTCGATTGTAAATGAGCAAGTCAGGCGCACCTGGCCCAGCATCAACATGCACAGGGACCCTGGGTGAGATGGAGCCTTACATCCATACCAACCATGTGGGCAGTTTTACAATAGGGCCCACATGAAAACATCTTCCCCACTATCGAATTACAGTTTGTTTTCCTCTCATCAACAGACTATTGATTAATGTGCATCAGAATGACCTAGACATCTTATTGAATTGTGGTTGCTGATTCAGTAGGTCTAGGATGAGGCATGAGATTTTACATTTCTTATAGGCACCATGCTGATGCTGATACTACTGGTCTACACACTACACTTTGAGTAACAAAGAAACAGAAAACTAAGTTGAAGTTACTTGCTCCCCAAAAATAAGACTGCAGATTTTCTTAGACTTATATACTCCAACAACAATATTATATCTAAGTCATTCTCTAGTCATTGTGATTGTTACCTAATTCACTGGTAAACGGAAGGATTTTTAGCCAGGTGCTGGCCAAGGTCCTGAAAGAAAAATGAGCTAGGTACTGTATATGACAAGACAAGGCTGTGACACTTTGGGTTCTGTTTAAAAATTCAATCGTTTTACACAGGAAAATGTGGAGGATGCCATAAAAAGAATAAGGAAAGAACCAAAAGGAAGTAGATACATTACAATGATTGGTCAATATACCGGTAGCAAAAGAGAAAAAATAAAAATTAGTGAGCCAGGACCTTCAAAGATGGTTCTTGAAGGAGATCTGCCAGAGGCAGAGTGATCAGAGGGTATACACACAAAACAGCCTTTATCCATATGGAGTTTAAAGAGAGAGAATTTATATTAAAAAGCTGCCATACCTGGCTTGGCCAAATATGATTTCAATTTAGTGTCCACATATCATGTTTCTACTATCTCTAGGCATCTGAAAATAGTGTTGCACTTATGAGCACATTTTTTTTGTGTGTGCGCTCACCAGCCCAAATTTCCCAGTTTTAGGCTGAGCAAACTTAAGCACAAAGAGTGGTCACAGGCTCACAGAGGAGATCAGAACTCTGAAGGATTCTTTTGCCGAGTGTCTTTCAGACTCTTCCAGTATCTGGACTAACTGTGATGATGGGCAGTCCATGGGCTACCCACTCCAGCCCTGAAGGATTCCCCTGACCTGAAGGATGAACCCCTGAGAATAAGCACATGGATGGAAGAAGCTTCTCTCTGAAGCTGCCACTGGCTTCTAAATATTAGATATCAATATCACAGGAGGCCACAGCCCCCAAAGGGCTCCTGAAATGTCCCTTTAAGAAGCAGTTTTTTGGTTGCTAGGAAGCTGCTCCTCCTTTACAAGTCATATTCAATTCAATCTGCTTTGATTCTCATAAATAGTTCTAAAACAACTCTAAGCAAGGTTGGTTAGGGGACCGTCCTACTGGTTATGCCCAAAGCAGGCTGTAAGCAGTGCAGCCTATGAAGAGTTAACCCCGCAAATGGCTCATGTTAAGAAGTGAGTCTGACTGAAGCTTACGGGATTCACAGAAGCACCTCACAGGTGCTGCGATAGTGCACAGGTTACCCTGACCTTCCTGCTGACAGCCACGGCAACACCAGAGAAGTGGCCTGGAAGCTGTGGGGCTATTACAAGATAACGCAGCAGCCATGGTCAGGGTAACTCACACCCAAATTCCATTCCCATGACTACAACCTTCTTAACTAGACGGACAAGGTTCTCATGACAACCCTATATTTTATCTATTCTCTTCCTTTTTCCTTTACAAGCCCTGCCTCCATTAGTATCCAGAGCAACTGCACTACTGCACATCCTCACACCTAGTTCCCCTTTACCCCAATTTGATTACCAATAAAAATCAATGGATGGACTATCCAGGGCCTTTGCTGGTTGCTCAGCACTGGCCATCCTGGCTCCCTACTTCTTTAATTCTGTCTTTGAGTCTTTCTTCAGCCCTGCGTTGTACACTGGGCAGGAGACTGGAACCTACTGCAGAGGTCTCCAGTAGGATGGTATCTAGAGTCTATAAAATCCAATGTGCTCATATTCTGAGCATTTTCTACCTGGAATTGTATCTTGTGAGTGTGTGTGTAACTTCTACTTGTCTATAAAAAACGGGAAAATACAAAAATTTATACCAAAAAACCCAGCAGATCCATACTATCACAACCCAGACATAATCATTATTAACTTTTTCCTTCTATTTCTTTTGCTTTTTTCCCAAGTGCTCATGAAAATTCACTTTCTAGGAAGGAGTTTTAGAGCTTGCTGTTTTGACTCAGAGTAGCTCTGTGTCATTCCCACATCTCTAGCCCATCCTACCTGATGTCCAGTCTCCAGGGGTAGTGAAGGTGCATCCGGCTGTACACTCAGTTTGGCCGTAACCTTCATAAACCTTCAAGCAAAACATGGAAACCACACTGTAGGCACACACCCGCCCACTGACTCTGGCTGTTCCCTGGAGGACATGGGAAGGGTGGTGCTCTGGAGGTAGAGAGCTCCAGGGGAAGCTGAGCACAGACAGCACAGCCATGTCTGCCGGGTACAAGTTATATTTTTACCTAGACACTTAGCAGATAAGGTTGCGTACTTTGGGATAAAGATTTCTGAGCTGTTTTCAACCACTGGCTTTTTCATGTGAATAATATGTAGTAATGATAAGCAGTTTAAAATCTACTACATACTTAATTTTGTCTTTATAAGACACTCCCCTCCAGAGGCCCTCCTGTTGGCATGAATTTAGGAGAGTCAGCCTTTAGGACTGGTCAAGCCATGGCAGTGTGGAATAAGAGGACAGTGCAAGAAGTTCATGGCTTCTAAAGTATAAAACTTAAAGCATACACAATTATGCCACAGAACTGTTTACTTTACTTGGAACAATCCAATGGGGTTTCACGCTCTACCTTGTGCTCCTGGTTCTGAGTTGGGAGATATTTTGCAGGCTAGAGAATGTATAGGGGTGGTATGGATTCTCCAGCACATTAAGGATTTCTACAGTTTACCTAATCCCTTTCCCCTTTGTTAAAAACTTTCAAGAGCCCAGGTAAAAGAATTTCCCAAAGTGCACACACCTAGGCTGTGTGTGTGCGTCTGGGGCACTGAGAATGAACCCAGGGCCTCCATGCTGAGCTACACCTCCAGCTCTTTTTTGATTATTTTGGAACAGAGTCACTAACTGTGACCGGGCGCATGCTCTTTTCTTTTTTTCCTTCTCTTTTTTATTAGTATGTGTTTGACATACACAATAAATACATTCATTGTGGGAAATTGGTCCATATACCTATCCAATCTTGATTTTTTTACTTCTCATTCCCCTCCCAAACTTGTTCTTGCCTCAGCCTCCCAGAATGCTGGGACTGTAGGTTTGCACTACCTTTCCTGGCCACACGCAGGCTTTCCAGCAGGCAGCAAGGCCATCCTGGCTTTCAGCGGCTCTGGGATTCTTTTTACCCTTGGAAGCAGGATCTTTTATCCCATGAAAATCTTGCCCCTGGGATTTTTCTCTACACAGTGGAGGGTTTAACAGCTTTCCTGCTTAATACATGCCCTACTGTCCCCAGACAAGGTCACACATGACAATACCTGGCACCCCAGAGCTGCCCGGAGGAATCCGAGGACTGTTGGTGATGCAGGGGCTGCTCCAGTAACAATCATTCGCACATGCCCACCGAGACTGGCCTGGGAGAAGAGAGGAGAGTTTCTGTGGTGACCAAGACGGTGTCTGGCCCATCTCAGCCTCATCTGCGGTCAACATTCAACAACTGGACCAGACCTGGATGCTCGGGTTCAGATCAGAGAGGCAGCCATGAGCTGAGGAAGTCCTTTCCCCTCCGACTGCTAAACCTGACGAGCTCTGCCATTTACCCACAATATAACCAGCTCCTTTATGCCTTCCGAGAAAAGTACCATGGCATTAGCCCACACAGCACTCTATAATATCGGTTCTCCTTTCTCAAAACAGCTGCTGTCTCTCTCATCATTCACAAGCATCCAGAGCAATTACTTAGGACACTTTTTTCCAACTTCCACTCTAATGGCACTGCCTTTTTTTTATGTCTAAATCAATACCATGCTGTATTTACTATGTACTGCAGAGGACAAAGGATACTTGAAACACTTTGTTTCTGTAAGTTGAGCCCAGAGTTTAAATATTAATGTTCAGAGCTAAAAATATAGTAGCAAGAAAAATGCAATGCTACTAATTAACTACAGATTCCTTGGGTAATGCAGAGACTGGCGAGTTTGGTGGAGATACAGCAGTGAGTCTTCTGACTTGGCCTGCTTGGGAGGGGCTGAAGGGACAGGAAACGAGAGGAAAAGAAGATCCCTGGCCATGTGGCTACAACCTGGTGCTGTGGGGAAGTCACTGTGGCCAGGGTTACAGGGGAGGGAAACAGAACGTTCAGGCCGAGCCATCCAAGGACCAAAAGGCCTGAGCACCCAAGAACAAAGCTACTCTGATGCCTGTGGTCAGGGGTCTGCTTTCCCAGGTCCTCCTTGCTGGTTGCCTTTTGGTGAGTAGAACATGTCTCCAGAAATAAGAAAAACAACGGCTGGTGCTCGCTTCGGCAGCACATATAATAAGAAAAACGACGGCTTCAAGACTCTATAGTACCTTAAGGTTTGATTTAATGAACATAAGCGCTATTAATTCACAAGATTACAGGCCACTGGAACAAACTTTAGTTCCCCTATGAGGTCACCCACTGGTCACGGGTGTTGCTTAATGACCACTCCTTAATTTCCTTACCTGGATCTTATTAAAGAAGAGTTCATCCCAGATACTATTATTCCTGATGATTCCACTGTGGACCTCGGCCTGCTTGCGCTTTGCCGCAAACTCCAGGAGCCAACGCTTTAGTGGAGTGTCTGCTTGGCTGAAGATCTGAGGAACACAAGGCGGAAAAAGCTATCAGGGCCTGAATGTTTCTAATCTGGAAATGTCCCCAGGACAAAGGCCTCCACTAGCAAGCAGAGAAGATATGCATTCAGATCACTGAATGTGTAATATCTAACTGAAGGTTAACACTAAAAAGGTCTAGGCACACTGTATAAAAGTTCCTGAAAAAGTTTTCCCCAAACTGGGTTTGGAAAATAGGAAGAAAACAGAAGGAAGAGTGAGAGAGAGGGAATCTTAGAGAGGAGGCCACTTTCAGGATGGAAGTGTGGAAAGCCTGCCTGATGCTCCAGATATGCAGCCCCTCGGCCTGGCTACAGACTTCCTGCTGGGCTCACCTTGTCATACATCCGGTTCAGCAGTCGTGGGACCACAGGGAAGATGGTAGGGCGCAGAGCCTTCATGTCATCTGAGAGGAGGCGGATGTCTCCTTGGAAGAAGCCAACTCGCCCTCCGTGGCAGTAGACGACAGACTGGAAGGAAAGGAGGAAGCCCTTAAGGTGGTCATTCCTGGCTCCAGTTCGGAGCTGTCCAAAGTTCTGCACTCTGTGGAGGGCATCCATGGTCCCAACCCAGCTCTGGCTGCTGCCATGAGACCCTGAAGAATGCTATCTGGGTGAGGACCCCCAACCCTGGCCTTCACACTAAGTCCCCACTCAGACACAGGGAGAAGCAGGAGGAGTGCTGACCTTTCGGGAGACCCCAAGTACCCATTCTCAGTGGTGCCTGCCCCTCATACCAACTTCCGAACCCTGGAGATGGGCCTCCCTGGGAACTCAGGTCTCCGATTTGTGCCACACCCCATAAGTGGGTCTGCTGCAGGTCCCAGAGAGTCTGGATTGTCCAGGGACATCTCTGCCGTTGTGCAAGGACGTGCCGTCCCATGGGCACTGCAGCTGCTGCGATAGTTGGCTGTGGGTGCTGTCTGGTAGGGGCTGAGGAGGAGCCCGGCTGGTTGCTAGTGGGACTGGGAGCCCACCAGGGGCTTTATGTGTGCTCTTACGCAGCGCTCATGCAACCCCATGAAGGAGGCAGTCTTCCTAATCTCCCTTTCCCAGGTGAGGAAAGCAAAGCTCGGAGAGCGAAAGTGACTCGCCCAGGCCCACAGACAAGATTGTCAGGGACGGTAGGTACTGTAATCGTAATCTAATCCGGGGAAGCACGCCCCTCAGGCAAAATGGGGGAGGCTGAAAAGACGTCTTTCACAGTCCATCGGCAGGCAGCTCCCGGGAGGGACACGTGTGAAGAACCCTTGGCTGCCAGTCACACGATTCACCCTCACTCTCCTCACAGCCCCGCGCGGCCTGACTCGGAGCTCTCACAGCAGCCCCACCTGCAGCCTAGGGGCCACGGCAGTGCTTCTAGGCTTTACTGCTGTGTTCCCTTTTTAGGAGTCTGGACTGCTGGCCACATGCAGAGCTCGCAGTAATGCACCTCTGCAGAGCCGCGATGCTCTCAGAGCAGATGCCACCAGCTGGGCTGTGTTCAAGGGCAGGACAGGGCAGGCCCTGGGGTCCTCTTGGAGCAAGGCTTCCACAAGGGGCAGGTGGCCTGTGCAAGGCCCCCAGACCCCTCTGGCCCCTGTGGTACCTTCTAGGGATAGGGCACTTTGGTCCTACTCCATACTACCAGTGACAAGTGACACCCTGCTAGGGTCATGGGTTCCAGGCACAGATGATGCCTCCCTGATGCCAGGGCCTTACCTGCACCATTCGCTCAAACATGTGTGCTAAAGGCAAATAGGAAAAGTGCACATCCGCACAAGTGGGAGCCCACTGACTCTGCAAGAAAACAGAGGAGCCCAGGCAAGTCCCAGTCAGTGGGGTGGGTGTCTTACCTGGATCACTCTCTCAAACATGTGAGCCAGAGGCAGGAAGGAGATGAGCACATCGTCCTGTCTCGGAAAGATCACTTTCTGCAGGTGACGGGCATGGGAGACAGAAAGGGAAGAAACACTGACAGGAAGACAACAAGAGAGTCTTAAAACAACAAAGAGAAAATGGTCCTGAAGGGGCGAACAGGAAGAGGGGCAAGGGGCACGGGAGAGATGAGGATGGAAAGAGAGGTGAGATGAGGGAGTGAGAAAAACGAGGGAGAGGGAGAAAAGGTGCCGAAGGGGAGAGGAGAGACAGGGCAGCATAGGAAGTGGAGTGTTAGGGCACAGCGCCTGTGGGTCTAGGTTGTCTGCAGAAGCAAAGAGCCAAGTGAAGCACACATGAACTGGCAGTCAGGCTCCACAGAAATCTCTGCGTGGGAGGGCCTACGCCACGTTGGCAGTCAGTCAGTGCCAGGCTGGCCTCCTCCCTCCTCCCCCACTGTAAGATCTGCCCCAGGCCCCACTCCCCAGCCTCCCTAGGCCACCCAAGAGAGAGAGTCTTGGCCCGTCAGCATTTTCTAGTCCTCCTCACAGAGAAGGGAGCCCAAAGAGCCCTAGGCCTGTGTCAACTGAGGCTGAGGCGTGAGCCTGGAACAGAGAAGGGAACAGGGCCAAGTCCAGACAGGAGGCTGGCGCTGGTCTCACAGTCCACGGCCTGGAATCAGGCCTCACGGAAAAGTGAGAGGTGCCCAGCCGCCTCACAAGCAGGACTCACAGGGACAGGCACTGCTCTGGCCAGGTGGGGGCTGCACCAGGGAGCTCCCCTTGGCAGGACTTCCCTGCTCTCAGCCTTTATCACAGAGGCCTTCGCTCTCCTGCCTGCCCCTTTGGCCAGTCTGGACCAACCCTGGGGAATGGCTCACGGGCCCTAACCTGGGCTCAGCCACCAACCATCCCTCCGAGTTTTCTGCCCAAGTGTGGAAGGGTTTGTGGGGGCAGATGCTCCATGATTTCACCTAGCATGCATGCGGAGAAAGGTTCTCCACAAAAAGCCTCACTGCTTCGAAAAGGTACATTCCTTTCTCCTGAAGGAAACTGCAGAACATACTCACCACACACGGGAGGGGTCCTCCTTTCTTAGCAGGTTATAAGACACTAACATGCTTTTGTCAGGCCAAGATATCAAGCTTTTTTTTTAAAATTTTACATTTACCTTTAAGTACAGCCTTATAAATTAGCAGTTGCCGTTGTTTCTCAGACTCTAGTAGTCCTTAAACACAAAATGACTGAATTAAACCCTGACCTACTTGAAGAACAAGTTATTAAGGGTTACTTTCTAAATAAAGGTACACATACATACAAGCACAGGTATCTCAATTTTTGAAGTTGAAAATGAAAAAATAGGTTTACATGCTTTTTTCTGGAAATCTTAGCACTCTTAGAAATCAATCGAATGTCTGTGAGGTATGGATCATTTCAGTGTTTGGAGTTACAAGTAGCTATAAAAGTGGGATTGCTCTATTGAGAATAGAAATTCCTGCCTATGAATGGCAAATTTTATCAGGAACAGAAAAACCCAAATTAAAAACAAAACCCTCTGAGGCTTGATGCTGTCCTCAGGAGACACCCGTGTAGTAAGTTGACTTTATTCACCTCTGTCACTTTCAGAAAGCCTGAGAAATCAGCCACCACGTTCCCATGGGTGAGCATCGCACCTTTGGGGTTCCCTGAAAACAGAAGAAGGGGGATTAGTTGGGAGCCCGGGATCGCTCCTTGAGAACACACTGGCATTCCCCGATGCCAGGCTGTCCACCCAGGCCTCTGGCCTTTGTGTGCGACCGCCTTCAGGGTCTGAGGCAGATTTGTGCTGTATCACGAACCTCCTCTCTGTCAGAGACCCTCAGAGCCCACTGCAAGATTCCCAGCAATTTGGGACAGGATGGAAGTGACATGGCTGCCCAGGCGGGTGCCCCGAGGCCTGCAGGGCTTTGCACATGTGGCACTTTACACTTCACCTCCCTCAGGGCCGCCAGTCCCCTCACGGACACCGACACCCAGTGCTCAGGGCGGCTCTCGTGCAGGCCACCGTCTGCCTGTGGCAGAAATCTCTCTTGCCACACCTGGTGCCTGGAAAGCTTCCCCGGGTAGGGCAGCCCCTCCTGTCTGCTCACAGCTCAGTCAGGACACTCATGTTCTTGCTTGCTTTAAGGAGACCTTTTAGGAGTGCTCCTGAGGCCTGGTCGTCAGGAAGCGTGAGGAGGCCAGAGGCTGTGAGGATGACGCTGGAGGCCAGGGCGCAGCAGGCTGTAGAGCGAGGCCAACGCTGCCGCCTGCTCACGTCTGGGGGACACAACCTTGGAGCTGCTGCTGGACAGATCTAACAGGGCTCAAGGCCTGGGCATCTGTAAACCATTTCTCCTCTCCGAGTTCCCTTACCTTTAGATCAGGGTTAATAAAACCCGTCTCGGAGAACTGCTATAGGTCTGGGCAGAATCCATGTACAAAAGATGTTAAACTAGATGTGTCCACTGAGGTAGCAGGTGCAATTGCTGTGGAACTCCAAAAGCATGGGGCAAGGCCACATGAAGAATTTACCAGGAAATATCGAATAACTCAGTATGTTAACTTTGCAGCCCTTAACCAGAGGAAAGAATAAAAGGGCTGAGTGAGTAGAGACTAAGCTAGTATTGCATAAATACTCAGTTTAGCCAGGCGTGGTGGCGTACACCTGTGATCCTAGCACTCAAGAGGCTGAGGCAGGAGGATCATTTCAAGTTCAAGGCCAGCCTGGGCTACATAGTGAGTTCAAGGTCAGCCTGCACTACATACCAAGAATCTGTCTCAAAAAACTAAAAATAAATAAACAGATTAAAATGGTTAGTTTCATGCTATGTGAATTTCGCCTCAGAGAGAGAGAGAGAGAGAGAGAGGCAGAAACGCAAAGACAGAGAGACAGAGAGAGAAAAGGGGAAAAGGGAGGAAGAGAGAGACAGACAGAGATAGAGGCAGACGGAGAGTAAGTAAGTGAAGAGGATTTCTTTCTTCGGAGAGAGCTATGCTGATTCCTATAGCCCATCCAAAGGGGAGGAAGCAAAGGTCCTCTCTCCCAGCCCAACCTATAATCCACTAACTCAAGAGCCTAACAGGGTCACCTGAGGAGCCCAAGTGTGGCCCATGCTGCTGGGAACCAGTGAGAAAGTGGAAGAAACTATTGGTAGAAACTAGTGGTAAAAACAACCACCACCGACGAACCCCAGGGACTGGCCACGGCGTCTGTGGGAGGAGCATCGGTTTGCGGGCACGGTGGTGGCGATGGGGATTAGAAGGAGTCTCCACAAAATCAGGGAGGCAGTCAGGTATACACGGAGGAGGGAGCAGATGGCCCAAGCCAGGGCCCTGCCCGCAGTAGAACAACTCAGAAAGGCACCCATCAAAAAAAAGGGCAAGTTTGAAACATTTGCCCAAAACCATATCCCGATTTCTATATCCTCCTCACTTCTTCTCCACCCACTCTTCACCACGAGTGAGAGCGCAGAAGCCTCCACTAGCAGGGTGGGGAGAGGAGAAACAGCAGGAAGGAGGAGGGGAAAGGGGCCGGGTCTTCCTACCACGCCTCTGCGGGAGGGGCCTCAATGAAACGCACCGGCTCCCAATTCGGACTCCTATTGTGATTACAAATTAAGATTCTGTTTGTGACTTGCAAAGGCCATGGGACTTTTCATTACTTAAGAGTGACCAGAAAAGGCACGCCACGCCTACGTTTTCATCTGGGAGCAGAGAAAGAACCACTCTCACTGAGCAAGTTTATAGGAACAGATGCAGATAAAAATAAAGTTGCTTTCCTAATTATATCCCGTGAGACCGGCTTGCTCAGCTTGCTGGTGACCCATTTGACAGACACAAAAGCATCGGTCACAGTTCCATCTTTTAAATTCAAGAGACACACAGCACTTTAGCCCATTTTGTCAACCACGGAGGTGACTCTGAGGACACAGGAGGTTACATGATTTTAAAAGACAGTTGTTAAAATATCTTCCTTTTGCGAAGAAAACACAGATCATAAGATCTGTTTCACCTCCACTTGTCTTTCATTCCAGCTCCTTTCTTCAAACGTAGCCCCATCCATGTTAAGAAACTTCTCTGAGTTGTCTCTCAGATAAAAATCCTACAGTGCTGCTACCCACACAATATTTTATCACCTAGTAATTTCTACCAGTGAATTCTGAGGTTTTGGAAGTTTCTAAGAACACTCTCAAAATATTAGGTATAGAATCAAACGGGTCACAAAACAGAGTCCCATGCTTCCGAGCTGTAGTTCTGAGAAACTGGGGAGCTGCAAGTCGGAGATAACCTCAGGGTGGAAGTTTCCGAGAACCTAAACAGAAAGTTTTCTTCACTGATGAAAAATTTCCAAAGCTTGTACCCAGTCCAGACTCACACACTTACAAGTTACTCGCTTCTGCTCAGATAAGCCCCTTTCCTCCCCAACATGACGCAGAAAGCTTAGAAACAAATGTCTTTCAGATATGAACACAATTCTAACTTCTCCTCCAGTCATCTGTCTGACTTTGTGGCTCCAAAGGATGAAGAAGTGAGTGCTGACAGTAAGTCCTGGGAGCAGACTTCAAGGCCCAGCCGGGAGGTGCGAGATTAGCCTCTGGCCATATTTCTTCCGCATGTGATAGGGAAAGGCTTCCAAGTTCTCTCCTTTTCTTATATAACTCAGCGAGAGTCTGCTGGCACCCAGCACCCCAGTGTCGCAGCGGTGTTTTCTGTCTTGCCACGGATCCTCTGTGCACGCTGCTCCCTCTGCTGGGAACATCCTTCCCCTTCATGTCCTCCAGCTATGGCTCCTTTAGGAGCCTGCTGAGGTGACTTCCTGTGGGAGTCCTTGGGTCCTGCTGTTCCATGTCTCCATGCCTAGGCACCCTGTGCAGCGTGGGATGCCGACCCTGGACTGTACCTGACCGTATGGGCTGTGAGCTCCTCAGCCCCCGTGGTGTTAGTAGGTCTGACACACAGCGGGTGCTCAAAAAAAAGAAAAAGAAAAAGAAGCTGGAGGAATGAATGAATATCAATTAGAAAAAGAGTGAGGAGAGTGTATTTTGTAAGACCACCGTCCTTTTCCTCTCTGGAAAGAGAATGTATATGAACTAAGGCTACAATATCTTAATTATCATTCAAGGGACTCACTTTCCCAATAGGCTGCATTATACCTACAAATCTGTCTTTTGGAAGGGAGGAGTAAGATTCAGTTCAGTTATTTTTAAAAGAACAAGCAGCCACATATCCACCCACCAGCCATCACTGTACAAAGCACAGTCTCTCACCCTCTCTGGCCTTCCTGGACTGAGCAGCGGCTCCACAGCTCTGCTGTGTGCTAGCAGCCTTCTGCTGAGGTTCCCATCACATGCCAGATGGAAATCTTCCTAGAATGGTTCCTCCAGAACCAAGGGCCAAAGATCAGATTCAGATCATATTTGCCATCTGTCCCCACGGAAAGAATGATGTGGCCCTTGATGTGGCCGAGAGCCAGTGGTCGGCACGAAAAGGAAACTTTTCCGTAGCGGGGCCGTGGCACTGAGGACACACGTGGTGAATGCGCTGACAGGAGGATGAATACGAGGCACAGCACAGGCTTAGCCCAAAGCCCAGGAAATCCAGGAGTATGCCAGGCAGGGTGATGCCAGGCCAAAGGTCTGCTCACTGCCCCAGCTCTGTCAGGTCTGACACAGCTTTGGATTAAGGCCCTTGGGACACCCAATCACATGCTGTTTTTCAGGCTCTGTAGATTCTGCTTTCACCACACAGAGCTCGAGTAGTGTGGCACAGCTTCCACCATGAATCCGCAGTCTGGAGAGCCAGTGACGTCTGCCCTCCCCAGCCAGGCAACAGCATGTTTTGCATCTGATAGTTCTTTTCCAGATATAAAGGTAGCACCTGTGACCAAGTGACCCATTAAAACCCTGAACGCACTCTTGGAAAACACAGTTCCGAAGCTAAGGCCAGAGCAGGTGACCTGCTTCCCAAAATCGTGTCACCAAAAATTCATGCTGTGAAACTCATGTGAAAAAGACGATGGAAAGCTCTATTTTAAAAGCAATGTAAACCTGAAGGGTAGTTTTGAATTCTGAGTTGGCTCTGGGTGTTTGATTTCCTTTCTGAAAGAGTATTAAACCTGTTAAAGAGTAGGGCACAAACTTTTAAACCCACATGAATTAATGGCAAAACTCCGTCTCCGTTCAACAAAGCCACATTTCTCGTGACCCACTGACACGGATAATCCTGCTTATGGGGCTGGTCAGGGGCTGCTCCTGAGGAAGCTGAGGGGCTGGTCCACCGCACAGGAAGAGCTATCATTAAGGTGGGCCAGTCCTCAGTCTGGAAAGAGATGGCTGGAAACTGCCGGCCCAGTTAGAGCAAAGCAAGTGACTTTCCGAGCCACTAGCTGAGAAGGAGGATCGGAACAGGAGCTGGGAGGGGAGGGCTCACGTCCCGGTGCCCCCACTTGCCAGTGGTGTCTCCTTGGAGCAGGCTGGGCCGAGGCCTCAGCCGCACACTGCGGATTCTGCCTCCCCTAAGAAGCCTTCCTTGACTGCTCCTGCCCACGAGGACACCCGTGTTCCTCTGCCCGCGCCACGGAGACTGTTTTCTGCTCCTGTCCGCTTCCTGACAGTCCTATCTGGACTGCTCTCTTACACCACTCTATCTCTCAGCTGGCACCTTTAACCACCCTTCCCCACAGGTGGGAGCTGGGGACAGGGATGGCAGCGAGGTTAAGCGACTTGTTCCTAAGTCCTTCTAGCAAGTAGTGGGGATGGAACTCAGACTCAGACACCAAACCCCACACTCCTTCCCCAGCCCACAACAAAAGTCCAGGCAGGGACAGAAAGCAGAGCAGTGAGGCTGTTTTGGATAAAGCAACGACCCCACGAGAAAAGTCCTACCCCAGCTGCCCAGGTCTCTAGTGGCTCTGAGAAGGGCCAAGCCCCACCCGCACTTCCTAGTCCAGCCTGTGCCTCCGAATCTGGCCACCTCTGTCCTTTCTGGTAACAGACACCGGCAGCAGCAGAAGGAACCAATGTTCGGAGCCAGGCGCAAGACAAGACTCAGCCCATGTCACAGAGGCTGAAGTCACCTGCCAGGCTGCTGGGCAAGGGTGCAGATGGCCACACCTGGTGATGTGGGAACCTCTGCTTACCTGTTGTGCCACTCGTGAAACACACAATGGAGAGGTCATCAGGCTGTGGGGGCTGCAGGGGCAAAAAGACACGTGTGTTAGGGAGGCCCAGCGCAAGCTGCCAGGGCCCATGGCACCAGACCCCTCCACTGCCAGCCCCACACACGGTGTGTGTTGTGCATGTGCGACACGGGTGTGTGTATGCGTTAGCAACGTGTGCGTGCCCCTGTGCTGCCCAGCTGAAAATGTGAGCAGGTGAGCTCCTAGGAAAGCGGAAAGAGGCTGAGCGTGTGGACACAGAGCTGACCCACCAACCTCACACCGGGTCCCATGGCTTCCATCGACGCAGGACTCCACTGAATTCTCCTAGGTGGGCTTGGGCTGACGTGGCCACATTCAGGCCTCTACCCAAGATCTCACCTATCTATCGGCTGTGACCCATTTCCCTCTTTCCTCCCCATTTTCCCCAAGGTATCTAGGGTGGCTCAGGAATTGAGCCGCCCCCTGCAACTCCAAGCCCGTTCTGCATCAGGCCCTGGCTCGGACCCTGGGCATATGGCTGTGAGGTGACCAGGAGGAGCCTGCCGAGCCCATCTGCACATAAGAATGGCTTCCCAGGGGAGGGGACGTGTGAGATGAGGTGCCAGGGCGAGCAAGACCTCTCCAAATGAAGCAAGGGTGGGAGTTCTGGGAGAGGATCAAGGGGCACAAGAGACAGGCCAGGCTGATGAACTAGGGAGCAGTTCTCTAGGGCTGCAGCCTGGCACTGGGAGGTGGCAAGCATACAGGGCTACCCTTGAAGGGCTCCGCTATGCCATCAGGAGAAGGGAGTGGGAAGGGCGGAGCTGGAGCGAGGCCTTGCCAGAAACCTGAAGCCTCCACATCCCGTGGCCCCGCCCAGGAGGCAGCTACCCTCATGTGACCCGATCCCGGCAGTGCCACGTGGGCACGGCATTCAGAAAGGTTCACAAGGCAAAGATGTACAAAGACAGCAGAGGCCACTTTGCCCAGGGGTTAACTTCTGCTGCTGTTGCTGCTTCTGTCCATCCCATGCTCTGAACAGTTCACTACAGTCAGAGAGACAAAAATGAGACCTCTCCAAGAGAAAGTCACAGAGCACCATGATGGCCAGGACTGGCTGCCGTCTGTCTTCCTCCCAAACATCTGACTCCTGTTCCAGGTCCTTCCCTGGGCCCTCAGCCCACAGAAGTCCGGGCACCCGAGCGGGTATTCCCGAATTGCACACAGGAGTTGCTTATCGACTTGGAGGTGCTTGTCTGGCCTCTCCACTGAGCCCGAGCCCAGCAGGGGACCCTGTGAAGATGGGCCCTGCCTGTCTGCTGGCAGGTTAGCTTACCACAGGAGCATGGTGATTCTCTTGGCCACAGTCCTGAAAAAAGAAAATACTGCTTTTAAGGGCTCTGAGGTTCTCAAACTCAAACTCAAAAATCAAACTCAGCGCAGCAGGCCTTGCTCTTACACATACACCTAGCCTGAGGCTCCTGGGAGAGAGAAGTGGAGAGGGTCCAGACCAGGGGTGGCAAACCTATGGCACGTGTGCGTCACGGAAAGCTCTAAAAGGTTCGCCGTCACTGGCCTAGACCCACCCCATACATCACAGAGAGGAAGCCATAGGCTGAGAGGACAGGCAGTGTGCTTACACCAATGTGTTTGGGACCTGCTCGGCTGAAGGTGTCCATTGTACATCTGGGCACATGTGTAAGACACAGCAGCTTCTACATGACCGCTCAGGGCAGGGGGACGTGGGGGGTGCCAGCGCAGGTGTGGCTGCTACTGTCACAGAGGGGCCTAAGTACACAGGCATTACAAGTTCAGGGAGGAGCACACGGAGGCAGAGGAAAACTGGAAAGCCCCAGGGCCCAGATCCAATAGACCACAGAGGGGGTCAGCTGCTACCAAGAGGGCCTGAGGCCCTGGAGGTCACGGTGCCAGGCCCTGTACCACTCTAGCAGGCCACAGGATGCCACCAATGTCACGTCTCTGGGGAGGCCGTGCACAAGCAAGTCGTTCTGCTGGCTGCTGGGGATCTGGCCCCATTGGAAGGATCTTGCCGAGACTCCTGGGCTTACCAAGAGTCCTCAGGCGCACACAGGCTGATGGTAGCTGGAAGCGAGGAGACTAGAAGCTGTGAGGGCCTCACAGGCTGGCACCATCACCGACTAAAGCCAGAGCCTGCTGCCCTTCCTACACTAGTGCACCGCCTTCTGGAGCATACCGTGGGCACTGATGACAGACTCCCAAAGCCTGCCCCGTCATGACACTCATACATTCTGAGGACCAAAAAAGCGGCCACCCCAGGCATGAGAGGGGCCAATAACCAGCACATCTCAATTGGTGGCCAGCCAGCAAACACCCCAGAAGCAGGTTCTTACCTCTACATCCTGCATGGACTTCATGACCACGCCACACTTCCGCCCTCTCTCTTTCAGAGCTTCCTCAAACGGCTCCATGAGGATGACCAGCTTGAGCCCTGGAGTCTCCCTCCTCTCCACATGCTCTAGCAGCAGCATAGCCTTCTGAGGCTTATCCACAATCACAGTGCTAATGTCCGCTGTGGGGACCGTTAAAGAGGGTCAGACTATGACTGTGAGCAGCATGCGCCGGGCAGTGGCCCTGAGGGTTGTGTGCGCCAGAGCTTGTGTCAGTAAACATGGGAGGGCAGCTATGGGGGTCAAGTGATGTGGGTGCTGGGTGGAATAAAGAGCAGAAGGTCAGGGGAGGGACCCCGTGGAGCAGACTCCAAGCTCTTCTTTGCTTCAGCCTCAGCCCCCATCATCCCAAGTCTGCCTGGGATATTTCCCCTGCCCAGTAATGATGTCGGCCGCCAGAAACCTCAGAGGACTGCAGCCTGTGTGGAGCTGTTGGCATCCCAGCCCAGTGGAAGGAACCGCAGGGGAAGCTGGGATGGGAAGAGCTGTGACTCAGAAAGCCTACTCAGGGGCCCCTGGTGTTTCCTGAGTACAAACAAAGGGCCTCTTGTGAGTGATATATGATCAGCATAACCTGAGGGGCTGGGGGCTGGGGGCTAGCTGATGGCAGGAAGGGGTGGCTGTAGGGCTCACCTGTATTGATGATGTAGCGGATAGCTCCAGGGCCCAGGGTGTCATAAAGCGGGACCACCACCATGGAATATGTGTAGCAGGCCAGCTCTGCAATGATCCACTATGGAAACAGAAGGTCAAGGAGGGGGAAGGAGATGAGACTGTTCTGCCCTTAGGCCCAGGTGACCAGTGTCCCCCCGCTGCAGTCCCTATGCCTGACCTCCGTGTGTGACGAGGAATCCAGAAGGCTAGCGGGTTGTGCTTGCTCACCCTTCTGGACCACGTTCACTCCAGAGCAGTCTATAATTTCTGGATTTCATGCCCAAACAGGTCTGGGCCCACTCCTAGGATCCGCACGGCACTCTCCGCCATGCCTGGCCTCCCCGCTGGTTCAGGGAGCAGCTGTGTGTGGTACCCAGTGTGGCATGCATAGAGCTTGGCTGGAGGGCCCACTCCTATGAAGGGGAGACCTGCGCGGGGTGGTGTTATGGTTCTAGGGTCTCTGTTTGTTCTCCTGGGCGACAGGGACTATTCCATGCTCCCATCCCTATGCCACCAATACCTCTAAAACCAGGTAGAGAAGATACTCACCTCTGGTCGGTTTTGTGCAAAGACACCAATAAACTGATCTGTACTTGCTTTACAGCTGTGCTGGAGAAGCCCAGATCCCAGAAATTCAGCCCTGTCTGCCACCTGCACACAGATACGGGGAGGTAATGGAGAAAGAACTCTACAGCAGGAGACACAGCCCTATGTAGGAGTCCTACAGTCTGACAGACCTGCCTGGCTCCCTACCCAGGCATGCTGAAAGCTCCTCAACACTGCTGCCAGAAGTTTGGCAGATAGGCCAGAAAATTAATAAATTACACTGTGAGACCCACCAGGGTGCTCAGAAGGCCCTCCCCAGCCCAAGTGCCCCATCTGCATGGGCGCATAGCATGAGGCCGGGCCTCTGTCACTTACCTCCTGGTAGGAGAGCCACTGGTAAGGCTGCTTGGGCTTCCTGAAACCAAGACAGGGCCCATTCCCTGCAGACAGACAAGCAGACCTTATGGTGGGGGGAGGCCAGTGTGGGTATGCCACCTGTTCCTGCCCATCAGACACCTGGATGGACCTCCCATCCTGCGGCTGTCCATGGATCAAGTGAACTTTTCCCTGCTGCCTGTCTTACCGACTAAGGCCAGGAGGAAGGGCCTAAAGCACATGAGTACGGCATCTCCCACCATGACTGGTGTGACAGTCCCCAATACAGGGCCAAAGGAGACAGACACCTGGGAGCCACCAGGAGAAGGTGGTAGGTGCCCCTCTCTGACTACTTCCCTTTGTCTCATAACCTGGGGCCATCAAGGCGTCTCAGAGGCCCAGGTTCAAAGCCTTGCTAGCCACCAGCCTGACAGTTCAGGGCTCACTATGGGCTGCCAATGGGTGTACAAGTCTGAGGTCTGAAGGTAGGCAGCCCGAAACCAAGCAGGGTTCACCCTTGGCCACATAATGCTGCTGCTTCTCTGATGGGTGACAGGAGGGCCAGGAGTGTGTTCTCTACTGACCCTGGGTACTGCTCATCTGCCATGTCCCTGCTACGTGCTTGCTTACCCACCCTTGAACCTGTGCAGCATCTGCCATGGCTCTCTTCATCCCCACAGCCACCTCACCTGAGATGGTAAGGCCACGGCGGAACACCTGGTACATGGTCCGGGCGTCATCGTAGAAGTGGGTAAGCAACTGAAGGCCGCCACCAATCACAGATCGTCGGGCCCCACCACTGTCCTACAAACCAAGCACAGGGCAGAGAAACTGACTGAGGCAGGCAGAGATGCCAGAATGGTGCCCCGGCACGTACAAAGCTGCACACCTGCTCCACACACGTGGGGCTGCGAGGTGCTGTGCACACCTGAACTGCACACGCTTGACCTGTGTTCATGCACACTCACATCTAACTGCCTGACACACACAGGCCCAGTACACCACTGTCTCACACATACCACACTCGTGCACCAGGTCAGCATACACAAAATGTCCAGAATTTTCAGTAACTCTTCATATACAGCAGCACGATGGAATGGGAAGTGTGGCCGGACTCGGCTGTATCTCCTGGCATCAAGATGGACCTGCCTAGTTGCTCCCCACCCATCGTCTGCTGCTGCACCCCTCAGTTAAAAATCAGGTGGGTGTAGTCTTTGGCTAAGAAGGCTGCCACCCTCCACTCCCAGAATGGCGTGAATTAACAGAGGACTGCGTTGAGGATACTCTCCAGGAGAAGCAGCCTAGGAACACGGGCTGAGCTGTGCCAACATCCAGTGGGAGCAGGCAGGGCAGACAGCTCCCGGGGCCCCCATGGGGCAGCTCTAGAGTGGGAAGGAGCACACACCTTCCGGGCCAGGGTGGGGAAAGAGCCAGAAGCCCTCGCCTGCCTTCTCGCCTTCCTCCCTGCTGCCTCTCCCCAGGATCTCCAAGACCAGGGCTCCCTGTATGTCCACAGTTGCCTCTTCGTGCCTAGCCCGGGCATGGAGACCCTTTCACAGCACAAATCAGCACCCCCCAACCGAAAACCCTGAGTAAATCCACGCTGCCCATCCCGAGTCCCCGCCCACCATCCCTGTTCACCTCCCCAGATGAGTTGCAATTGTGAGCTTAACTAAAAAACAGCTACGCCTGGTGATTTATCAGGACCATCTCACCAAATCCCGACTGCCCGAGGGACCCTCTCTCCCCCTTTTTGGTACTGGGAATTGAATGCAGGCCTTTGCACTGAGCTATATCCCCAGCCTTTTTTTATTATTTTTTTTTATTTTGAGACAGGGTCTCGATAAGTCACCCAGGTTGGCCTGCAAATTGTGATTCTCCTGCTTCAGTCTCCGAGGAGCTGGGATGACAGGCTTGTGCCACTGCCCGACTCAGGTGCACTTTTTTCTACCCACTTTACCACAGAGGACACTGAGACTCAGAGAGTTAAGAATCTGACAAGAAACATACAGCTCCTAGAGGCACAATCCGGCTTCGAGCCCAGGACTGCTGCTCACCACAGCGATCCCATCCCCTACTCTGCTGCCCCATTTCCAGCCCTGCTGCAATGCCCACACCCAACACCAGCCACCCTTCCCCAAAGCACACCTGTGCCTTCCCGGATGCCACCCTGCTGGGAAAACGGCCCTCAGATCCAGGCCCCATCTTGACCTCCCTCCCCTACCAGCCAAACCTTGCCGTATTTTTGCCTCTAAATGCATCGATACAATGCACAAAGATGGGTGTACAAGGTTATCATTTAAAATCGGGAGGAGGGATCGCTATACACAGTAATCTGCTAGAGCTTAGGACAGAACCAGAAACACAGGTGCCTCAGGGGGGAAGTGGGACACCCAGGGTAGAAGGGAGAAGCTTTTCGGTCTAACCTTTTGCCTCTTGGGAACCATGTGAGTATATTAGCTATTAAAAATGAGGGCCAGGGATTTAGCTCAGTGGCACCGCGTCTGTCTTGCAAGCGCAAGGTCCTGAGTTCAATCCCTGGTACCAAAAAAAGAGAACAAAATTAAAGTTTAGAAAAAAGGTAAAATAAAATTCTATATGCTTAATAAAGAAGCAGATGTCACCAGTCCTTCCAGGCTTCACCCGGAATCATCCTGTCTGCTGGGCCACTGCATGCCCTTCTGCACAGTGACTCCACCTGTGAGCCTATGTGCTCTGAGAGGGCAGAGTCCTTGGGGCGGGCTCAGCTCTGGGACCTGCACCAACCAAACTGGGCCCAGGGAGAGACTGGGAGGGAAGACTCGCTTAGCCTACTGAGGCACCAATGAGCCAGCGGCCCTACTCAAGAGGCAGGCAAGCCAGACGCCCTGCATAAGGGCAAGGCCAGGCTGTCTGACAGGAACTCCTGCTCCAGGCGGCTGCAGTTTGTTGGCTAGCTGCCAGGGAGCAGGACTACAGGATTCTCAGGGACACCTGAAGTCGAACAAGCCACAAGTCCAGCTTCTACCTTCAAGACGTCTGTCCTCTGCCCGATACTTTCTACCGCCCGACTGCTCCCACCTACTCACCTCCACTTCTTCTGACTGCAACAGCAGATTGCACGGTGGGGTCAAGGCCTTCGGCCGGTGAGTGAACCAGTAGGCGAGGATGGCAGCCAATGCACCCATACTCACAAGGGTGGTGGCTGACAGACTGCGGAGAAACTGGCTCAAGTCACCCATCTCAGGGAGCCGCAGTAACTTCAGAATCTCCTGGGTCTGCATCTTCTCCAGAAGTGAGAGGACAAACTCTGCAAGAGACAGGAGGCAGATGAGGGAGCAGGGCCGGTGGGCAGGCCCCCGGGGATGGGGATGCTCGGTCACAGGTGGCTCTGGCCCAGTGTGCTGAAGGGCAGGCCCCAGGCAGTTGGGGGATAAAGTTTCCTGGTGTAACACAGAAGTGCACCCCAGAAGCTGGCTTCCTAGAAAGGGCTATTCCTGGTACGAGGCCAGAGCCCTCAGGACCCAATCCTGGCAGACATCTGGCCCACTTTCCCCGAGAACCACAAGCTCAGGCCCTGGGCTATGACTCACATGTGCTTCTGGGGCTAGGCTGTGTTCTCAGAGCAGCTCGGAGCATGGAGCCTCTCCTACAGGACTGTGGTCACGTGATTTGCTTATCTTTGCTCCTAGAGTGTGGAAAAGATTGAAGGGTGGCGGAAATGCCTAGCAAAGTGTCTAGGGTAAGTGGGGTGAAAGGACGAGGCTCCACCTGCTCCATCTCTAAGCTCTTAGCCCAGCCCTGCCTGACGGAGAGAGGGAAGAGGAGTTGGGCAGATCCCACAGACAGCCCCAGGCACCCCCAGGCCTTGACATGAAGCAGCAGCCTACCCGACTACAGGAGCACCAGGGCTCGGCACAGCTGGCCCGCCGCTGACTGTGCCCTCATCCCTCAGCTGGTCCACAGGAGAGGGCTAGCAGAGGGGAATGGGTATTAGACTGGCAAGAGGAGAAAGAACTCGGAGAACTCTCTCGAAGAAAGGGCTCAGCTGTGTGCTGTGTGCATTCCTAGAAGGAACCAGCCTCTTGTGATGTCACAGACGGTGGCCTGGGCATCACTGTCACCCACGACAGCCCGTGTGGGTACGGTGGGCCTCTCAGGGAGACATGGAGATGCCCTGGGGTAGACAGTGAGAAGGCTTCGGTGAGAAGCACTGGTGACTGACTGGTTCCAAGAGGGCAGGTTTCAGGGGACTCTGTGACCTCGTTAGCTGCTGGAAGAAGAAGCTGACAGAGCAGATACACAAGCCAGATGGGCGCAGAGTTCTTTGCCCAGGACTGACGAAGGCATCCAGGGTGGGCCAGGCATTGCTCGTCACATCCCTCATGTCACTGCCCGGTAGCGATGGCGGGGTGGTTCTAGCTGCTGTGCACCGCCCACAGGCACCCTCCTGACAGGCCTTCAGCCTTTGGAAGCAGTGGCTGTGGTTTTCCTTCTTGGGAATAAGAAGAAATGCAACAGTGGCTACTCTGCAGCCACTGGATGAGAGCCAATTGCTTGACCCCTGAGGAAAGAGGGAGCTGCTTAAGTTCCAATAAATGGTATTTGTGCTACACTGTAACATGACCACATGGAGATGAGGTCAGCGATGTGGAGGGTTGGGGGTGCAGACAGACGGAGAGACAGAGAGCTATCTTCAGTTCAAGTCCCTTCTTCACTTGTAAGCGGTGCACAGTTTGAGCCCCTACTTCCCTCAGAAACATAAAGCCTCCTGCGCTACAGCTGGTACAGAGATCTAAGGAGGTGGCCCCAAGGAGGCTGCTCAATGTAGGACACACAGATAAGGCTGAGAGCTGGCCTGGCCCAGGCTGGTCCAGATGCTAGGCAGAGGCAGGGCTCAGACCCGGTGGCCCCACAGTTGGAGTTTATGATCTACAGATGCACAGCAAGCTGAGTCCTGGGGAGACTCGCCCACCCTGCATAGACTTGGGTGTTTCTGGGGAGCAGTGAAAGGGACCGCCTAGCAGGGAGAGCTGGAGTCCAGTTTTACCGGCAGCTTTCTTAAGCTGGGCCAATTACGAGGGACTACTCAGGAGGAGCCACTCCTAGCAGATAGGTCCAGTTACGGTTCTACGTCACCAAAGCAGAGGAGCACAGACTACAATGACTTCACCACAGAAAGCCTAAGATGGGAGAGCTCTGGGCAGGCAGCCAGCTGGCCACTTTGGGAGACCTGACTTCCCTACACTACGGGTGTGGTGGCTAAGTCACAGCCAGGCCTGTCAGATAAATGGCTCACTATTTAGTAGAAAGTCTAGACAAAGGCACCAGCTCTTGGAGTGGGGTCTGAGCGGCCTGACAGTCCCTTTAATGAGCTGAACTGACTCAGTCAGAGGGCTGAAAAACTAAGGCCCAAGAAACCTCTGACCAGCCCCACAAGGGTCAGCTAAGTGGTCCCAACAGTTTTAAAGAGCGCCTGGAAGGAGTTCCTGGTCCTTGGCAGTTGCTGATGGACCCCAAGCTTCAGGACAAAAGGCGTATTTGTGGCATTGGGTACAGTGTTCGAGCTGTCAACAGAGCACAGCTCATAACGGCCGAGCCATTCATCTATCCATCCAACCAGCAGACCCTCACATGGCCCTTGCTCTCACCTAGCTCAGTGTTAGGCCTGTCCTCAGTCCCTGGGAGGAGACATGAAGGAGAGAGGATGGTGTGCTCCAGGCTGTGACCGGTCAGGGCAAGCCAGAGGAAGTGCCTGATTCAGGTGTGGAGGTCAGGGCAGGCTCCTGACAGGAAGTGATACCGATGCTGAGAGGAAGGATACGGGGAAAGGGGCCCATCAGAGGAGAGCAAATACACACCGACTGGAATTGTAAGAGTATGTGGAACATTCAGGGAACTGAATCTTCCCTTCAGATAGTAAAGTCTTGGGCCTACAAAATCTGTATGAAGGTCAGCACCATAAGTCTGTGAGCCTGGCACCTGGCATATGCTGAGCTTTATGGAGCTGCTGTACTAATTAATTAGCACAGTCCTCAGCAGAGGGAGAAGCTGAATGTGTCTAAACGTCCTGAATGCCTGATGCCTGAGAAGCCCTTTCCTATACATGGCACTGTTTGATCCTCAGCTCCCTGTACTCACTGCAAGGAGGCAGCGCACAGGGACCCTTCCTTCAGTGACTAAAGCAGACGGTAAGGAAGCTACAGAGTTCAGATCAGCCCAAAACCACTTGTGTGACCACCCCAGGCCCTGCCAACACTGGACCCCATTCCCACAAGCCATCCTCCCCTTTGCAATGGGCTGAACCCACAGAACACTGGCTCCAGACTGCTCAGAAGTCAGGCCCAAGTTCTGGGAGGTGGGTGGAGATGCAGCCTTGGCAGAGTCTGGGCTAGGGATGAGCCACACAGTGCTGCTCACCCCGAACACATCACGGATGGGCTCCCTCCTGGCTTCACCTCAGGAACTTGCCACCTTCTCCTGGCTGGGTCTTTTCTTCCCACCTGGGGCAATGGAGAGCAGTGGGCAAAGAACCTGGCTGTCCACTCCTCTTCAGGCGAGGTTCTTGCCCCTAAGGAGGCATCGGCAGTGGCTAGAGCTCCTCTGGCCCCAAGGCTGGGCCTGTCCCCTACTTGGCTGGCAGTGACAAGACAGTCTTATTCTTCCAGGATCACCGACCTTCTCAGACAGTCAGAGCTGCTTCTGTTTAGCCTGAGATCCCCTTCAGACCTGAGAGCCAGTGCAGGCCAGAGCCTCGGTCCAGGTCCCCTGAGGACGCCGGCCTCAGCACCAGCCCGCACCACCAAGCCCTTGGCACGCAGGAGGACTGGGAGTTCGGTCTCCTCTCATCTTTGCACGGGGCCCTGGCCTGCTGTGACCTCCTCCTCTCTGTTAACCTGGGGTGGGGCTAGGAGATCCCCCGGGTTCCAGCCACAGCGGCCTCCTTCCACACCCCAGGAGGCTCCCTGGGTTGCAGCAGCCATGGGGGAGGGGGGGACATCCCCCAAGGGATCAGTGGTGCTGGTGTTGTCAAGGGAGCAGCTGGGAATATTTGTAAATATTCACCTGGCAGGAGGACCCAGCCCTCAGCAAAAACGAACCTCCTTCTTCTCCTCCCCTCCCGGCAGGGCCTATGCCTTTTCCATGGGCACAGAGCCACTCAGAATACCAAGTGGTACCGCAGGCTGGAAGCACTGGGACTTCCTCTTCCTCGCCATAGCCTCCGCTGGATCAGGGTTCATGGAGAGTGAGTGGGTGGTGAAACCCACAGCTCTGGTGATCCAGGATGGGAGAAACAGGAAGAAGAGGACTTGGGGGGGAGCAGGTTGGCCCTGTGGTGGTGTTGTGGCAGAGGCAAAGCCGTGAAGCACAGTCCTGGCATCGGGCCTGGGGCTATCAGCTTAGTTCCAAGAATGCTGGCTGGCGCAGTGTCTTAACCCAGCGCTCCAGGCTTCGCAGTCCAGCGGATGGCTCTGTGAGGAAGGACTGCTTCTCACACACCTCTCCAACCTGACCGCCCCTCTCCACCCCTCATTCCCAGGCCTGGCCCAGATTCCCATGCCAGCCTCCTCACAGGTCTCCCTGCCCTAACCAGTGATGAAACTGAGCCAATTACTCTCCTGCTACGCAGATGTGACCAGGTCATACTACTGCACCAAAATATTCTCTGGCTCTCGACTGCCTCATGACCAAAGCCCAAGCTCATCAAGCTGGCACTGAGGCCCTCTGCACCCCTCAGAGTCTTCCTTCCCTGAGAGCCACCCAGCTGCCCTCTGTATCCACCTTCTTACAGTGGGGACCGAGGGCTCTGCAAACCTCCACGGCCCTCAGAAACGGCACCGAAGCACAAGCCAAGACACCAGATCACCGAAGAACCTCCTCAACTCCCAGTGAGGAGCTGAAAAAGAAAATTTCATCCTCTTCTAGGGCCCAGGGACCTCAGCAAACAAGCTTGAGAAAGAGCCTACAGGGAGATTCTGGTACTGGACTGAACTGGGCCCAAATCCTGGCTCAGACTCTTGACAGCTGTGTGGTTTTGGGCAAGACACTGTGTCCCTCTGGGCCTCAGCTCACTCACGCTCCTGGACAGAGACCGCAAGCCTAGGTGTATAATGAGGAAAACACTTACTAGATAATGATTAGCTGAAGAAACTATTCCATCTATTTACCAGACAAAAGGGCTCAAAGACAACTTGCAAAAGCAGATGCATTCACGCCCTACCTTTCCAGCGGGCTCCTGGCACTGAGAAGGTAGCCGAGCTGGTCCCACTAGAACCAGCCTCTCTTTATAGGGCCTGTGGGGCCCAGGGAAAGAGGTTACCACATCTCGATCAAAGCACAAAAGTGGAGAAGGCCCTGCCCCTGGGGACAGCCGATAGCAACAGCTGTTGGCTCTGAGAAGCTGGGTGGTGGGAGAGGTGTGAGCGGTGGTGGCAGTGGCTCCCTGGTGGCTGTAGGAGCAGGTCTGGCAGGGACCAGGGCACAGAGCAGCTCTGTGAGGAGCCGCTGGCCCCTCAAGGCCCCCACTGGCCCCCCCTTCATCTGCACATGGGGCGGTGCTGGCTCCGATCAGCTCAGAGCCAGCAGCTTAACCCTCCCTCTGCCAGGTTGCCAGGGCCTTGCCAAGTACCCCTCGCGTGCCCCCATCCGGACCTCATCTTCAGCCCTAGAAGGGAGCTCGCCTCCTCATGCGCCCATCTGAAACACTAGCTGCCCTGGTCAGAGAGGATCTGGAGCGAGCAGCAGAGCGGGCAGGAGGTAGGTAGTGGGGGTGCAGAAGCACTGGTGCTGAGGGAAGACTGCCCCCTCCACCCCGGGAACTCTATTCCCAGCCTCTCCCCGGAGCTTCCTCCACTGCCCACCCGACACAGTCACAACCCCTGCACCTGGAGAAAGGAACACAAGGGAGCAGTCTCAGATAGTATCTGCTCAGGGACACTCTGGGGAATGGAGATGCTCCACACCAGTGATCAGGGTCAGACGGGGAAAGCAGTGGCCCATCTCCTCTGTAAGACCCCAGCGCAGCATGCCAGCCCCTCCCTGATGCCTGCCCTAAGAGACATTCTCTCCTAGCTTGCCTCGGGTTGATCCTGGAGCCAGAATCCACACCCTCTCCTGCTGGAACCCCCATTAAAACACACAGATACGTGAGGATCTATCTTTGGCCCACAAAGCCCTTTCCCTTTTCTTCCTGGCACGACCCCCATTGGATGCAGAGATGTCTTTCTTTACATAAGACAAAGTCTTCCTTTAATACCTCTCAGGGATACCTCTGGGGCAGGAAATCCAGGGGCCACAACCAAAGAGCTAGCTGGTGGCAAAGCGTGCCAGACGTCAGAGGCAAGGAGCTGAGAGATCAGCTCTGCCGCAGGAAATGCGTGGTCCAGGTGCCAGGGTAAGAGGCTCACGCCTCCCTCTGTCACACTCAGGCCATCTGACCCACAGATGCACACATGCAGCCCACGCAGCCCCACGGCACCGGCACAGGGATTCTCGCTGTGTCTGCTCTGAGAGAGGGGCTTTCTCTCTGTTTTCCTCCTGGGTTTTAATTAGATTCACAGAACCTCAGATGATTGGGGCAGAGATGGGGCCAAGGGCTGCCCTGACTTGGGAACTGCCAGGAGAGACCCACTGCACGTCCCCCACGGGACAGCAGCCGAAACTCGGGGTTGCTAAGTTACGCTGGGCCCGCCCGCCCAGCCTCCCGAGGAGCCCCTGGTGTCTCTCAAGGTTGAATCAAGCCCCCTGAATGTGGAAAGGCCCACCTAAGCTCTGCAGTGGCTGCCTGGCAGAGCCACTGATCCTGCTACCCAAGCCCATTAAGAACACACACTGTTAGCAGCCTGCACTGCCCCTGCGCTCCCATCCTCAGGACAGGGCCTCGCAAGAACCTCACTCACCCCAAGTCCTGGCCAGGGAACATGGACCCACACTCCTGACCATGGCCCCAGGAAGCCAGGCTCAAAAAACACTTTCAGAATTCAAGAATATGAACAGCCTTGCAATGCAGAGGAACAAACAGAAACACAGTGTCTTTTGTAAGCTCTGAGATAAAGGTTGGCCTCACCATGAACCAGGCACAGCAAAAGTCTCAGAGCAAAGAGGGACCACAGAGGTAAAGCAATGACGGCAGGCCCTTTGGAAACAGCTACACGGTATAATGCCCAAGACTGGTGAGGTGGATAAGCCAAGGCCTCAGTGTCCTTCCTTCCACACCAAGCCCTGGGATGCAGGCAGAACCCTGAAAATACCAGTGAGGGCCATGATGACCACGCAGGCAGAGGGACACCCCCTGGCCAGGCTTCACTGGACAAGGAGCCAAATCTTGTGGCTATAACAGATGTGTGTCTATTAATATTGCCAGGGTCTTGGCCTCAGGAAGAGCGATCCATTTCCATCGCTGGCCCAAACTGAGGTCATACCATAAGCCCTCCAGGTTCAAACCACAAAAGACACCGACTGCCTGTGCTCTTCAGAGGTCAACTGCAGGTCTTCAGGTACAGGTAGGACAGAGTGTCGCCTCCTCCAGCTAGCAGGGAGCTCCTTGAGATGGGGAGCGTCCTGGCAAGCTATGGTTGGGAATACAGAGGTGGGGTGAGGAAGAGAGGACTTTGCTCGCCCTCTTGGCCACTCAGGAGCACTGCTGGTCTGCAGGGGACATCTGTTCAGGGAAAAACAGACAAGACAGGACCTCAGACACATCCTCCCCCAGGCAGTGACAGCGGGGACAGGGTGAGAGCAGGGTGGGAAGGGGAGGAGCCTGGCTAGGGCAGAGTGACACAGTGGGTCGGCAAGTCACAGGAAGAGCCCGGAGGGCAGTGGTGGGAGGAGGCACAGGCCCGGCGGCGACACTGAGGACCAGAGCAGGAGGCTGAGGCCGGCAGGATGGCAGTGAACTACCCAAGGCAAAACACGGAAGTTGGTTCCGTCCATGTGCCTCTTGCCTTCCAAGTCACAGCACAGGAGCAGGCAGCACGCACCAGCTCACTTGGCGGATGACGGGAAGGGAGGAGAGGTGCCTGGGACGCACAGGTGTCCAGGCCAGCGGTTTCCCTGTACCCCTGCAAAGGCGCAGCCTGTACTGCCAGGAGCTTGCAAGGCTCCTTTAGGCACCAGGTCGGGGTTTGCTGTGCATGCGTGCCCGCGTGTGTGCATATGTTTGCACACGCATTAGACAATGAGCAAGAAAAGTTTTGCTTTTGGTTAGGGGTACAAATTAAAAAAAATTTTTAAAGCAGTTTAGCTTTCTGGCAATTTCAGTCAATAGCTTTATTTTCTGGTTGCCCCATACTCGTGACACAATTTATCTTCCAAACGTCACAGGAAGAAATAAAGCTGAGTTTCTCCCAGTTCAGGGAAAGCCGGTGCTGGTCAACAGGACTCTGCCACCTCCTGAGTCTCCCCCTGCAGGTCAGGGCTTCAGAGCTGTCATGGCACAAAACCGCCCTCCAGAGCAGTGTGGAGGCCAGGTCCCGCTGCTGGCCTCAGGGAGCACCACAGGGTTAACAGCACACTGTAGCACCCCGTCTGGAGCGGGCAGGGACACGGGGAAGTCAGGCTTCCTTTTCCAAGGCCCGGATGAATGGGGAATATGCAAATGGCTGCCTCCTGAGGAGGGCAGGGGAGGGCCAGCTGCTGGCGGGCCGCATCACTCCACTCGGCTCCCGGCCTGTCACATGAAAGCGTTTGCACTGCGGCTGCTGGCTCCAGAGCCCCGCCAGACTGGGGCTATTCTCACCAGAAAACAAAAATGTCTTTCAGACCACAGCAAAGCGAGGCCCCAGCTGGCCTGGGAAGGCCGTTGGTCGTTGTTCAGCTGACCTACTGAGAGCGCCCATTGGTTGCATTCTCACTTGACCTGACACCTTACGACACCTTAAGCAAGGGAGCGGGAAGCCTCTGTAGCTGCTGAGGAGAGCACTGCGCAAGGATAAAGAAACAGGATCACACCTTCGGAGGCTTTGTCCTTGTCAAAAACAGTAATGGCTGGGTGGGCCGGGGATTTAGCTCAGTGGTTCCACTGCCTGCCTCACAAGAGCAAGGTCCTGAGTTTGATCCCCAGGGTGACAAAAAAATAAAAAAAAGTAATGGCTGAGACCAAGGTAGCAAATGTTTTATGTATAACAAAACTTCAGGAATTCTCACAGTGTTGGGGGTGAACATGGAAAAAGAAATGGGAAGAGAAACGTCTGGGAAATAAGAAGACTTTGTAGCGCACAGAGGACTTCTAAGAATGGAGACCGTGTGCATCCTCCACCTGGCATCCCTCCGCTCTGGGTGGGCCCACAAGGCTGCTGCTCCAGGTGCCCTTGAGCTGAGCACGGGGTTCATGGTGACCCTGAGCACAGTGTGTGGGATTTGGAGCTTTGGGAACCCCCCGCCCACCCAAGGGCTCAGATGCCTTCTTCAACAGAGGCAGTGACAAGGTAAGACTTCAGGCATTTCACACTCGAGTGGCCAGAAACACTGCTTTTCTGACACCCTGGAGTTGTCAAGAGCCGTCCTTTAACTACAGTACAAATCTTGTACTCTACAATCCAGATGCCATGCACACTCCAGCAACAGGAGGCAATGACACAGCAAGACCATTTAGCCTGAGGTCACAGCTGGGACAAAACCACTTAGGAACTGGTTCTGAGCCAGCAGGAGGGCTGCTGGGTGCCTCACAGATCTCCCACGACCCAAGGGGACTGTCAGCCTGTCAGCCCAGCTCGAATGGCCAATTACCCACTGCCACCTCCCTCTTTAGGTCTTCCTATTTTAGTTGGGGCCATGCAGTATGCACATGACGCGAAGACGCCAAAAAAGTCTCAATAAAAGTTCAAGGAGCCATCCAGGGAGGAGAATCAGGAGCGGAAGAGGAGGAAGCAGAGGGGGTGGAGGAGAGTTCAGACCAGGCTTCACAGGTTGTCTGGTCTGTGGCAAAGAGGTCAGGGACACAAGTGTCCAAGTCCTCCACCAGCCCACCGGCCGAGAGAAGACCTGCCTTCCCCAGAGAGAGCCAGGCTTGGGAGGAGCAGCTTCGGGGAGGGCAGGGGACGGAGTCTGGGTCTGAGTACGGATGAGTAGGAGAAAATCACATCCACCCCATCTGCCGAAGTTCCATCACCATCAACCCGAAGTTCTCTGGGCACTAAGCAGAGTCCTGGGGTCTAGGGTGGCTTCACGCAGCCTCAATGCTAGAAGCAGAGCAGTGGGTCCTGGGGTGTTGCCGCTTCCAAGGTCGAGGAGTCACTTCAGACCCGATGGGTCCCTGCTGCGTCCCCCTCCTCCGTGTGGCTAACTGCTCTCCTCTCACTGGCCTGAAAGCATCACCTATCCAGTCTCCCTGGCTGGCCCACGTTCCACCTTGCTGGTCTCTGTCCCAGCTCTGACTGTCCCTGTGGTGTGTCCTCCAGCTGACCTTGCTGTCCATATCTGGCTGACCTCTCAGTTGGCCTTTTGGCCTATTTGGTGAGATCTACGGTCGGTGCCCAGAATGGTCTGTAGCTGGGGCTGGGCAGGAGCAGCTGGGGCTGGGCAGGAGGGGCCCATGGGGGACTCTAAGCCCCCCAAACAGTCCACATGTTGGTGGGTAAAACAGGGTTTATAGCGGGGCTGAGTCCTGCTCAGTCTCTTGGGACCCACTTCCTGCATGGTGGGCCAGGCAGGGCTGGGATTGGGTAGGGTTCCAGCCCCTAGGTGGTGGTGTCTGTCTCAGCTGCCCATTCCGCCTGGGCCTGCTTACAGTCTCTCACTCCTTCAGTGGCCATCAGTAATCAGGTCTGCTCCTGGCCCCAACAGGTGGTTGGGGTAGTCCAGATTCACTCATCCTAGGGTCTGAAAACTGGGAAGCTGACTGTTTCCACATTGGCCTAGCTTCCTGTTCTAAAGCCCCAGCAGGCAACTGTCTTGGAAGTGGTGAGAAGCTAGCCTTGCCCTTCTCTCCAGGGACCCCCCCCCCCAGCAGAATGCCTGAACTAGATTTGGAGAGAATGGTGTCTTGGGAAGAGCAGGTGAATACGGTCAGGTGGGATTACTTTGGATGTGAAATTCTTCAGGCTCTGAGATTACTAATTGGGCCTCTGGACAGAGAGCTCAGCTTGACTCAGAATTCCTGTTCCAACCTACTTCCCATAGTCCCATTTTGTCAATCACAAATGCCAAGCCTCACATGAAGGAAATAAGCCCGGGCATGACCACACCTACCAGACAGCTCTGTGAGCAGGAGAATGACGACAACCCCAAAGGCCCAAGCAGCATCGCAGCCCAGCATTCTTCACCCACCACTCCTGGGGCCCAACAGATGGGTAATGGGAACTCTGGTCAGACCAAGCAAAGAATGCAGCTATTGCATCAGGCCGTGGGGATTCCTCTCATCTATGTCTGGCAGAGGCCAGTGTTTCCAGAGGCTACAGCCCCATGGAGCTCTAAGGAAACAACAGCCCTCAGAGAAGGCTGCAAGTCCCCCTGGAGCTGTGGGTCGGTTCTTCTAGTCACTCACTCGGCAACCCCCCAGGAGCCCCACTAAAAGCTGACCTGGCCTGCCTGCAAGGGCTTCATACCTGCTTTGCCCGGCTGCTTCAACCATCCTGGCATCATTCCCAAGCTGAGCATGGAGCCTGATTGTCTCCTGACTGACTTTTGGTGAGAAAACAGTTTACAGAACATATTATTATTAAAGTAAATTATTCTCAAGGAATTCTTCATATCACATGTTTATGCAACAAACACGATGCATACTGCACGTTCAACCCTGGGTTGAGGATACGGAGATGAGGCCCCCGTGACACTTCCTTCTCCCTCAAGGAGGTTCTGAGACTTATGGAGGAGGCCAAAGACTGCAATCCAGTGGGATGTGTGCCACCACAGGGAACGGATGTGGCATGTGGAATGCAGGAACGGTGGCACCATGGCCACCCACACGCTCAGTGCTAGCCGTGCCTCCTTGATGCGACCACCACAGACTGAGGCCAGAGCAGCTCAGCCTGGGCTTTCAGGCCCGCAGAGCCCAGGTCTGGCCAAGCAGAATTTGTCCCTTAACTTCGTCCTTTCCTATTGTCAGTCTTTCTTCACACCAGCACATTCGGTTCGTGGAATGTACCTTTTCCCCCTACTTCCTTTCTTCATGTTGGAATCCCAGACCTCTTCTGGACTAGAAATCTGAGGCTGTGGTCCGACTCACAGCTGTTGTAGTCGCTTCCCGTTAAATCTCCCTGGGTCTCAGTGCTTCACCTAGTAAGTGGGGGTAACAGCACCACTGCACTGGGGGAAGACTGAAGGAAAGCTTGAAGAATCATAGAATATGGTGATGGGTGGATGATGTCATAGGTGCTCAGAGAAACAGCAGCTAAGTCAGCATGTTTGCAACAACCCTCCACCACCACACACACACACCTAGTACTTCACTCAGTGAATATCCGAGTGCTTTCTGTGCGCCAGGTGCTGGCTAGATACAAAGGGCGGCTTCCGTTAGCCTGTACTGTTTGCATTTTTACAAATAAGCCAATCCCCACTCACCTTGGGAATGGGACAGCTCTGGGTCCTATCTGGGACAGTAGCTGAGCCAAATTCAACCTTCTGAAGGTCAACCTCGGTGCCCTTACTACTGAGTTAGATCGCAGAATGGCTGGGTTCTGCTGCCCCCTGGTGTTGGTGTGCTCTCTCTAGAACGTTTTAGCACCACCATACCGGCTGGGAACCAGTGGAGGAAGGTACTGAGGTCCTTCCCTAGTGCTGATGGACCCTGTACCAATCCAGTCTTTCTTCATTTGGGAGGCATGCTCCAAGCTGAACCACACAGCTGCCTGTTCTGCCTGAAGCTCCACCATCTGTCCCAATTTTTATTTGTCTTCTTGGGCTCCCTAAGGTAGTCCCAGACCTCATGCCAGTCCTCCATCCTAGCAGACATCTGAGGTTAGGGCAGGATTGGACAGGGCTGAGCTGGGCCAGAGTGTGAAGTCTGTCAACTACAACTATAGCCAGATGCCTTCCACGGCAGCCTTGGGAATAGCAGCTCTGCTTCACTCCAGCAGGGCTCATCCCACTCCCCTAGGATGGGAGACAGGGCCAGGGTCTCGTCCCTTCCCTTTCCTGGAGGCCAATCCTCAACTCAAGTCATTCTCGGGCCATGCCTATTCTCATCTGTAACACTACACCACATTCCTGCCCTCCACTTCCCTCCCCCTAGCTCAGCCTGGCCAGTTACTAAAGAGAGTGTTCCTTTGCACCCCCAAATAAAACCTTTTTCTCCAGGACCCTCACCTGCCACCCAGGTTCCCCAGGCACAACACCTCTAAGACTCACCCTCCAGGACTTTCCCTGCCTGTACGCTGACCTATCTGCCTCTGACAAACACCCCTGTAGGCTACAGAGGCCCACTCAGACATCACCCATGGTCAGGCGTGCAGTTGAGGAAGGAGCCTAGGGGACATCTATCCACCAAGAGTGACGCCTCTTTCTACTCTGCACGAAGGGGCCACAGGCAGGCAGAAGCTCCAACACATCATTCCCATGATCCTCTGAGGACTTATGGCACTGAGGGAGCATTTTCCTACACCAGGCCCAGCATCTAACGTACTTGTCTACTGCTGAACACACAGGTGAGATCTTGGCTGGCCCTGGAGGGGAGCACACGGTACAGCCAGAGCCCAGGGTTACTGCCCACAGGCAGCTCCTCCCCCGGAGCGCCTGTCTCCTCACACCATTCTCTCCTGAGGGCTCTGGAGGGCAGCTCTTGCTCCACACCCTCTTGTTTCCCTAGGGCCCAACTGGCTCACTAAAGGCACTGACTCTATTAAAGAGCCACACGGCCTCAGGGGTCCCCTCCTGTTTCTGGCTTGAGTAAAAGGGACCTTCAGTTACAAAGTGGGCTCCACTTTGGTGCCCGTGGAAGCAGCTGCCACCTACATAAGGGGTCACCCTGCTTGACCACTCTGCAGAGTCCCTCAGCAAGGCTGACTCCCCATTCCCGTTTCCTGTTCAGGGGTGCACCTGACCCCTTTGGGAAATGTTCTACAAGGAAGCAGGACAGAAGGCCAGTTTGAGTCAGGTACACCTGAACCCTACGTGTGGGCGAGGACCCTGCACAGTGAGGGCTTTCTCGGGGCCTGCGATGACCTCTGTCCTAAATGGCACGCAGCCCCCGGCCACTTCCCTGCGGCCACACAAGACCAAGGGTTGGACTCCTGGCTGGGCGAGGGCTCCTGAGGGCAGTGCAGAGGGTCCCGGCACTGGGAGGGGTGCTGAGGCCACCATCACTCAGGCAGTACAGGGTGACTGTGACTCTCAGCACCACTGTCACCATTCTGATAACCCTGACCCCAGGCCCTCGCCCTGTCCTTCCGGTTCTGTCTGCATCAGGACTAGAGTGGCCCCGCACAGCCTGTCACCGGACACTGGCAGTCGGAAGGAGCTTAGGGGATTAGAGAGGCCTTACTCACTCCCCCAGCTCAGGGCAAGGGTCCCCACGGCCTCACTCAGGGCGTGGATGGGGGAGGCCCCCCAGGTGCAGGCCTGGTACAAACAAGATATTATCTATGTGACACTGAGCAAGGCAACCACCTTCTGACTCTCAACAAAAAAAGGGACGGTGCCACCAACCTCCTAGGATTGCTGTGACTATGAAATAACAGATGCAAAATGCTGTAGCAAGTAAGGATCTCAAAAAGGTCTCCTTCTTTCCTTTCCTCGGCTCAGAAACAACTTTATCACCACCTCGGGCAGTGCTGTTTGAACGTGAAAGAAATACTAACAATCCCAGGCCATTTGCTCTCGGCTAGGCCAGGTTTAAGGCCAATTTACGGGTGGTAAATAAATGATCAGACTGAATCCACACCAGGGGCTGGGACTGGGCTGGGGAGACCCAGAGGTATACTGGGAAGGCTCCCGGCAGACGAGCGGCGTGTGCTGAGACCCCTTCCCCGTGTGGGTGTACCTGGAGTTGGGGAAAGTTCCGGACAGGGGTCCGGCTCCTAAGAGGGTGCCTGGCTGAGGGCTGAGTCCTAAGGGGTCGGGTAGGGGGCTGGAATCCGTGGGGACATAGCCCTGGGCAGAGCAGAGGGAGGCGAACTCACTGACGGAAATCTCTTGTACTACTCCGGCTGAAGGGCAAGCAGAGGGAAGTCACCAGGAGGGGCCTGGGCAGGGCCAGGCAGCCCAGTCAGTCCTGGCTACACGGCTGGCCTGCTCGGGTCCTGGGCGGGGGGGCAACACCCTTGGTTTCCGATCCCCGGAGATGGACGAGGACGCAATAGGTCTGCCCCTGCCTTGGATCAGGGCCTAATCTGTTCAGTGGGTCCTCGCCCTAAGAGGAGAGGGGCTCTGGAACTGAAATCAGTTGTCAGGAGGTCGCAGCGAGCGAGGCAGACCCACCTGCCTCCCAAACCTGGCCCGGAGCCCGCTGGAATTGGGGGCGACCCGGGACCTTGAAAGGAAATCTCAGCAGCAGCGCCGGGATGTGAAGCCCGCGCCCTGGGCCGAGACACCGCAGCTGCCCGTAGGTCAGGGCCGGGCGGGGATCGGATGGGGACTTACCCGCAAACAGCCAGAGGGAGCCCCCCGACACGAGGAAGAAGGTCAGCATGTCGGTTGGCTGGGCCCAGCCCGGCCCGGCCCGACCCGGCCCGACCCGGCCCGCAGCCCGCAGCCCGCAGCCCGCAGCCCCGCAGCCGCACGGTAGAGGCGCCCCCGCGCCGCCGGGTATTTCAGCTCCCGCCTCCCGCGCCGCGCCGCGCCGCGCCGCTGCGGAGCCTGGCGCGGGGGAGGGGCCCGTCCGCGGCAGCGCCCTCGGCCCGCGCCCCCAACGCTCTGCGGAAACGGGCCAGCGGAGGGCGCACGGCGCCGCGGAGGTCTCGGCCGGGCAGGCTCAGGCGCGGCAGGGTCGCATGGCCTGTCCCGCCCGGGAGGGGCACGTTCTGATAGGCCGGTGACCAGAGGGACACCGACTGCCGGTAGGAGCGGAGTCTGCAGACAAGCAAGTCTGCAAGGCGGTGAGAAAGGGGAGCCGCGAAGTTCTATCGAGATTCTGGCAGAGGCAACTCGACTGCACAGTGCCTTGATCTCCTGGGGATGCACAAGGTCGCAGGAGGCCTCTGTGGCCAAAGGCTGCCAGGTCTGGTCACCAGTCACAGGCAGGCCACACGAAGTCACAGGCAGTGCCGTGGTGTCCCGGGAGGACACCGTGGTCTTCATACACGCCCGTGTGTGGCAGTGAGGCCTCACTCCCTCCGTCAGCAGTGCAAGGCCATGCAGGCGTCCAGCCTCCGATGGTCACTCTGCTGGGCTAAGGTGCTGGACACCCTCTATGTCAGTGCCTGGAGGGAAAGGCGGGGGCCAGCTGCCCCCCCCCCCCCGCGCCCAGGATATGGGACCCGCGGAGGTCCGGAGTTTAGGGTCACCTCCTCCAAAGCTCTTGCTCGTTCTCAAACACACCAGGCCCGCGGAGCCTCAGCACCGAGGACAGCGCTCAGGCAGCCCAGCCCACTGTAGTACAGCGTCCTAGGCCAGGCCGGGGCTAAGACCAGAACCCAGGAAGAAGAGGTGAGCAACCAGAGAGCGGAGATCAAGAAGCACAGGCTGGATGGGGAGACTGCCTGTCCCATGTCCCTGGGCCCAGAACTCGGCAGCTGGGATGTGTCCGTGTCTGTGGCAGTCCAGCTGTACCATGAGCAGCTGCACGCGCGTCCTGGCCTGTCTGCGGACCTGATCCGGCAGCCAGTCCCAGGCCCTGTCCACCTCCACACCACCTCTCTGCTGCAGGAGCATTCTGGGTCCCTGTGCGGCTCCTGGCAGCCTCCTCTCCACAGTGACATCACGGGACACTTTTAGCCTGGCCTCCTGCAGGATGTCGCATCCGGTTACTTTTCCTATGGATGTCTCTGCTACTTGTGAATATTCAAATTCAAAAACTTGGGCTGTAGTTGTGACTCATTACCGCTTGCTTCACTGTTTTTTGTTTTTCTCTGAACGTGGCTTGGCTTTTCCTTAGTTATAGGGACAGGATGGTCCTGGGCCTGCCTGTTGGATCATGGCCAGTTTTCTTTCTTCTCCGGGCCTGTCCCCTGTGCTGGGTAGGGGGACTTGCTGTTTCTGTCCTGTCCCCAAAGTCTTCTTCCCCTTTGGGTTTCCATCCATGGACCATTTGTGGACATGGGCAGCTGTGACTTGGAGGCCTCCAGCCTTACTGGATGTGGCAGCCATGCGGCCCAGGAAGAAACCGAGGCTCAGAGATGCCCAGGCCAGGCTGGGGGCCCTGGGACTTTCCTCTTAGGAAGGTCGGCTACAGTAGTGGCCAGCTCTGTTTACCCCTGTCTCGACTCACTCCAGTATCTCTTAGAGGGACAGCAGGCAGGCAGCAGTTTTTAAGTTCTGGCACAGAGTCCGGCCCAGAGAATGCAGAGACCATGATGCCATTCGACAGGAGACAACTTCAGGGCGAACACCGGCCTTAGGCCACACAGCAGTTTTGGCTTCTTCACTCCCATTCGTTCGTTCACTCTGTGTCCAGCGCCCCCTGCAACCAGGGAGGCTGGGGAGACTAATCGGAAGCAGCAGTAACAGCAGTCTCGCGCGGTGAGCCTGGTAACAGATGGATGACCCTAGCCTAAGGCTAAGAAGCCCTCCTAAGACAGAAGATATTCAATCTGGGCCTTAAATCTTGGGGTAAGAATTTTCCAGGCATCGAAGTAGGGCAAAGATACCTGGCTTTGTTTCTGTCGTGCCACGCAGCCATCAGCAAGCCTCTGCCCTTTCTGTGGTCATGGGTACAAGTGATGCCAACCTGGAGGCTTCTGGGTACGAAGACCAACTAGCCATGACTCTACTGTCTTTTAATCATCACAGTTCAGTGACCACCCTCTACATCTGTAAAGCCCGGCGTCCACTCTGGGTCCAGTCTATGCCCCAACATTTTCAACACTTTTACATTGACAGTTTCTCACATTGTAAGTACCTCTTTCCATTGCCACCCAGAAAACTAACTGTTCAGGCTTACTTGCAACCAGGAATGACTTGGAGTGTGCCAATGAGCCACTCTTTCATGAGCCTTTGAGACAAAAGCCAGCAGTGAGTGGGGGAAAGTCCTGCCCATGACATCCAGCTCACTGGTACAAGGCTGGCAGCAGAAGCGATGGTGGTGGATGCTTCTGGGGGTTGTTTCTAGAAGGCGAAATTTGAGGCTATTTCTTGAACCTCCCCCAAGTGGTATGAGCTATGTACTTTTTTTTTTTTTTAAATTCTGGATGTTGTTTTTTTCTAATTTTTATTAGTACATGGTTGTAGTACCTAATGATTACATTCACTGTGGTTGATATTGCTTTTTGAGCCTAAGTGAACCAGCTTGTTGCTTCAGAGACCGGCTCCAAAAACATACTTATCCCCATGCCCTTCCTGTTATTTTTATACATTTTATTTTACTTTATCCCATCCTCCCAAGTCCCCTGCCTGACCTATGTACAAAAGCTTTATTTCCATTTTTTCCTTCTATTTTCACTTTTTTTTCTTGTCACGTCCTTCCTTTTACCCGGCATTTTTCAATGTGTTCCTTTCTGCTTAAAGTAGCACAGGTTTTATTGTTTACAAGAACCCCCGACTGCCCCACTGTGGCAGCTGTGGCTATGGCGCTGGACACTCAGCCTTCATCCCTGTCACTGCATCTGCCGGGGAATGGAAGCTGGGGATGTCGAGCTCGGTGAGCTCAGCCAGATCCTTGATCCTCTTTATTCTGACAACCACAGATCCGGAGAGCTGAGGTAAAAACTTGAAATCCAGCAAAGAATCCACTCAAGTAACTGCCCCATCTGGAAGAAAGGCTTTGAAGAAAGAGTGAAATGGTCGGAGAGCTGCAAACAATGGTCAGCTTATGTCCTTTATCTAACAGTTGTGCCCCTGATAACAAAATTGCTCAGTGTAGAAATTTTTGAAAATAAGAAAAGTACGGATTTAAATCACTTGTATCTCACCCCCAAAGATAAGAATCAATGCATTTTTAAATATTGGACAAAGTCAAAGACCACCATGGGCCAAAGAACAAATAAACTCCTTAACCTGTTACCCATTAAAAGGATAATTTGCATTTTCGGTTAAGACAGATAGGGAGTTAAAATTGTTTTTTGTGAAAAATTGTGCCTCATTTGGCCCTACAAATGGCCAATAGGTAACTAAAAGCAGAGCAAAGTCTGACTTTCATTTTGTGAGACTCTGGGTCAAATTCTTCTCAGCTCTGCATATAGGCATGTTAGTCCCTTAGGGAGTCTCTAGAAAGTTTGCTAAACATGTTTGATTAATTCAAAATTTAACTAGCCTATCTCTTTGCCCTTCAAGATGGAGAATACCTAAGCCCAGAAGTCTCCATTGTCCTAAACCTATGATCACCCTGGATTCCAGCAGACCCTCACAAGATTATAGATAGCTAAACTGGCTAGACACATTCTAGGCAGTCAGACAGGGCTGGGCCCTCAAGAGTCAGTGCAGGGGATGAGAACACAACACAGCTGTGGGTGGAGGCACATCTGTCCAAGGCCAGGCCTCAAGATAAAGATGGCATGACCAGGCCTGCATGCCTCCCCAAGGGACGAACAATAAATTGAACATTAGACTATAATCGGTATCACCTGGTCCAATAAAGTCTACATAGACATCAGTCACCTAGATGGGTGACCAGGAGGACCTCCTGACCCATCTCTTCCTAAAAAGGTCCTTGTTCTTTCCTGTACACTGACTACACCCACACACTTCCCCTAGGGATGAACAGCAGTGATTGATATTCTAAGCAGGCATCAACCACCTTGGGTGGGGCGCCAAGATCTTTTTTTTTTTTTTCTTAAATTCTTTTATTGGTACATTGTAGGTATACAACACATTTACATTTCTCATTGGGAATTGTACCTTTACATAATGCATCTTGGTTCTTACTTTTTCCCCATTCCTAGCCCTCCCTT